GTTTACACTGATAGCAGTCTTCTTGAGACTCCCCCAACTGTAATTAATTTTATTTGGTAGTTATTGGAACCCAATAATGACAGTCAGTTCCGAACCGTTAAAATTGTGTCTTACCTACGCCGACTGTTGGAAATTAGATCCCCTCTACCCTGTCTCTTTTCCCTTTGCAAAAATGGCGGCCCTGGCAGGACTGCCGTGACTCCGCCTCCTCCAGCCCCATCAACCCCTAACCCGAGCCCCGCCCCTACACTCTCCGGGGTCCTCGAGCCCAAGATTGCAGGGGCGCCGTGAAAGGAGAGTTGGCTACATGCGCGTTCACGCGTCCGATGCCCTGCCTGTTCTGTAGTTTTGTGTCTGTAGTCCAAATCTTGCCACTGTCTGATGCCACTATGCAGGATTTATGTGAGTTCAGTTGCAACGAGTTGGTTCTAGAAAATGACCTATATATTGTTATTGTAAACTGGTTACCAACGTAGAGAGTAGTACAAATAAATGTTTTGTCATACCCGTGGTATACGGTCTGATATATAGTATGAAAAATGTATGCACTCACTAAAATGTAAGTCGCTCTGGATAAGAGCGTCTGCTAAATGACTAAAATGTAAATATACCACTGCTGTCAGCCAATCAGCATTCAGGGCTCGAACCACCCAGTTTATAAATATATATGAGTGCATACATTTTTCATACTATATATCAGACCGTATACCACGGGTATGACAAAACATTTATTTGTACTACTCTCTACGTTGGTAACCAGTTTACAATAACAATAAGGCACCTCTGGGGTTTGTGGTATATGGCCAATATACCACAGCTAAGGGCTGTATCCAGGCACTCCACATTGCGTTGTCCCTGTAGCTCAGTTGGTAGAGCATGGCGCTTGCAACGCCAGGGTTGTGGGTTCGTTTCCCACAGGGGGCCAGTATGAAAATGTATGCACTCACTAACTGTAAGTCGCTCTGGATAAGAGCGTCTGCTAAATGACTAAAATGAAAAATGTGCCTAAGAACAGCCCATAGCTGTGGTATATTGGCCATATACCACCCCCTCGTGCCTTATTGCTTAATATATATTTAAAATTACAATAAATCCTCTTGCTTATAATCCTAATTTATACAACATGATCTCCAAACTTCATTTATAGTCATACGTTCAACAACTCATTAAAAATGAATCCATTGCCATGAATAGAATAATATACCTCTTTATTGTCAATTAAAATATTTCATAAACATTTACATTTTCCTTCAACTGCTTGAGAGATCAAGCAACATGGTGCAACACAAAATTACAATACATGAGACAATACAAGGCATAGCCTAAACTCTCACGTACATAGTTCTGTATATAGTTTTTCTTTTCAGCTCACGTGTTTTCTTTTCAACATGTATCTGAGAACAATTTGTACACTTTGATGTGTGAGGGTGTAAATTAGGGTAGTCAGTGCTTGACTTGGGCAGAAGCTTACCGGAGCTGAGTACCGGCACCTCAAATGTTCTACTGCTTGAGTACCTGCACCTCCTATAGAATATTAGCTCAAAAGTATTGTGGAGCTCCTGCACCTAAATATAAACAGTACCCAAAATGAGTACTGGCACCTACAGTATTTCAGTCCAAGTCAAGCACTGTGTGTGTAGTCAATGCTGTTTCTTAGCAGCCAAGGACAAAGTCCTGTTGCTTTTATAACTTCCTCTGGAGGAACTTGTTGAATTGTCAGCCCTTTCCCTCCTGTTTCCCACTTCTCTTAACTGCAAAGCAATCTGATGTGCTTTTGTCAACCATATGACCATGATGTCCGGCACAGAGACATACCATGTTCTATATCTATGGTCTGGCATCTCACCACCGCTCATGTCACAAAGATTCCTTAATTCAAGTGCACAGCGTGTAAGAAGAGCTTTGTCAACCCAAATTACCTCAAAGTCCACATGAGAATACACACTGGGGAGAGGCCATACAAGTGTGAGGACTGTTCCAAGAGCTTCACCCAGATCAGTATTCTCAACGCGCACCGACGCACGCATACTGGAGAGAAGCCACACGAGTGCAAGGTGTGCGGCAGCTGCTTCACCCGTCGCAAGTACCTGGAGGATCACATAGGCAGAAAGCATGGGTCTTTAGAGCAAATTAATGAACAGGAGGATGAACAATGAGAACTGAGTTTTTAGGTGTTGTGACTTCATGTATGTAACTTGTAATATAAATATTGAAGATCAGGCAAAGCTGGATTGTTGCCTAGCAGTTTCTCGGGCCCCGTGTAGCTCAGTTGGTAGAGCATGGCGCTTGCAACGCCAGGGTTGTGGGTTTGTTTCCCGCGGGGGGCCAGTATGAAAAATGTATGCACTCTCTAACTGTAAGTCGCTCTGGATAAGAGCGTCTGCTAAATGACTAAAATGTAAATGTAAAATGTAAGTGCTCTTTTCACTTTTATAGATGATCCTACTGCAAAATGTGAAACTTTATTAAAATAGTAAAACAAAAATAGATATTGTATTGTCACTTTGAGGTCCATGACGTGCCTTTTGTATCTGCTACAAATAAAAAAAACTCATGAATTGCAATTATTAGGCCCTAGTTACCAGAGTTTTAAATGAGTATCTAAATCTGCTGCCCAACTCAGTAGGAGGAGGGAGGGGGGGGGGGGCAGGTAGTACTGACCAAGTAATATCAACACAATCTACAAATGCATGCATCATGTGCTATTGTTAACAAGTACATTTCGCTCATAATTGCTGTTACAGTATTCCAGTCTTCCAAAGAAACTGTACTATTCTTATGAATACATGTTACATGTAGGCCTAGTTCAATAATACTGAGAACAATGCGTATAGGCTACAATGAAGAGGTCAAGGCAAACTGATCGTTGCATGTTTAAAGTAAAATGTCTCCATGTCCAATTTTCAAAGTATTTAATGCACACAGATGAATTTTCTAAAGAGGTGCGTCCAACTGTGCAACAATGTATCTAAAAATCCGTTGGACATCAGTGTACGTGTCGTTCGAATTAAGGCGAAGATACAGTGGCTCCTGCGAATCTTCCAGTCCTGTTCACATATACAGTCATTGCCTGTTCACATCACATTACAGTTCGACCTCCCCTCCCCCAGTGAGATGTAGCCAAACCGCAACCCCGCGCGCACGCGTAATACTGAAATTGAACTCGCAGTTTGCTCGGATTTCTCGTCTGTTGGTTGAATCAAATCGTCTTGACAGAGTAGATTAGCCTTCATAACTGCTACAATCCTTTTCGGAAACCTTATAGCGAACGTAGGTGATATTGTACAGCAGTTGTTGGGCTATAATACGGTATATATATATATTTTTGTAGGGTGTAGGGTTTTCATTATTACAATATTTGGAGACGTTATCAAGAAGTAGCCTAGTTTGCGGCCAGTTCGATTGAGATTAGATTAGGTGGTAAAATCTAGGGTTAACTCGGTTTCGCAAAATGGCGTTCTTGTTTTGATAGATTGACATTGCTCTCAACCAATGATGCATGAATAGGGCTGTTTTTGCAGAAATGGTTGGCTTCTGATGACATCATTCGGACATCGGTTGTAGGCGGGTTCTGAGCTGTGAGGGGAGAGTGGCGCAACCGGAGAACTTGCAGAGCCAGACGCCATTAGAGATGAGTCAAGAAAAACAATGCGTTGAAATGCAAGATAAATACGGGATGAGTAATTTACTGTTCGACGATAGGAATTACTCAAATTAACTCGCCATTCAACGTATTGTATGCAGAAAGGTATAGATCACTTTGCGTAGTTTTGTGAAATTGCAACAACGTAGTAGTGGCAAATAAGATGGCGCCTGCCGTTAACGATCATGCACGTGCATAAAGCGCACTCCCGAGAGGAGTGCGGAAAATATCGTTTCTAAACCATACTGTACTGGCTTGGCGGAAAGTCTTGTTTGGTATTTCCTGTTTTGGTATTTTGGCATTTAAACCGAGATGCAGACTGACGAACCATCTTATCTACATAAATCGAAACATGGATGGAAAGTAACGGTCAATGTCTATGAAAATGTAAAAGTGGCCAACAAAAGCTGAACTGAACACTGGCATGAAAGGGAAGAGATTTCATTTTCTGCAGGATTTTAAAGTAACAATTATTCGATTACAGCTGGATACATTACAACTGATGGAACGCGAAGTTAATTGAACATTTGATATTTTAGTAAGATTTTCCTTACGGACAAAAGCAACTGTCAAATCGCTTAGCTGTTGATAGGGAGCTTAGAGCTTGTCCGCCATGTTGTACCACTCTGTTCTCTTATTCATTAATCAGTAAATGGCGCACAGACTTCACAATTACCCCAGAGAAGAATTGCTCTAGTAATTTAAATGCTCATTAACTATTTGTACCAGTTATGCCTGTCTTTTGTCTCTTGATTATTCATTAAACCTGACTGCAGTCCTATAATTTCCTTTCCACCTGAATGTACTATATTGGATGCAAAACAAATGCACTGCATTTTCTACTAATATGTTACTGCGCACCACTCACCCATGTCATGGAAGACATATAAACATCAAAGGAAGGAGATGCATGATGTTCCAACATAAAACCTGTAATCAAGAGGAAGGAAATTGGAATGACTACCAACCGTCCTTGCTCAATTGTCAGTTTCTGATAGTTTGCACAGAAGCACGCATTAATTCACAATGTCACAACACAATCTTCCAGGTCTGGAAAGCAGCATTACATTTTCATATGTATACAAAAATACACATTTCCCCCAATATTTCCTATGCGATTCCCTTTTAAATAAGAGTTACACACATAGATGCATAAAAAAAAAGTCAACTTCTGTAACTACCTATTATGCACATACATATACAAAGGGCTTTGTCTCCATCTAGTGTGCAAAAGTGGAAACGACACGAGTCGATCAATTATCTCGACCAATCATAGCGCTCGTTGTTGGTAGGTCGCCCTCTATGTCAAGGTGGAAGGACATTTTGAGAAAACAACACTGGGGAAAGAGAAAAAACGATGTCTTCTTTAGGAAGGGCCATGGGTGTCCTTAGGGCCGGGACGCAGCTTCTTACACGTGGACCTCAGAAAATTGTAACCCGAAAGTAAGTAACGTTACTGGTGTTGTTATAATGTAAACGTTAGCTATGTGCTAACTTCGTAAGGTTGAATTCAATATCGTCCTTCATAACTAAAGAAGGCTTCATTCACACGTCAGCTGAGCTGTACACATTCATCACTGTCTTCTTAGCTATAAACAGTAACGTTAGGCTACAGCTTATGACTAACTAACGTTAGCAGACTGACAATAGGCCTACTAAACAGGTGTCCAGAGGGAGGCGCCATGATCAGATGTTAACCCACTGGTTTGTTGGGTTTCATCAAATGTGTAGAGCAAAGCTACATCATACTGGTATAAAGTGATACTCTCAGTGCTCTGGTTTTCTGTTTCCTTTCAGAGCTGGTGGTGGACCTCACATAGAGGCCCAGTACAGGCAATTCCCACAACTCACCAAGAGCCAGACGTTCCAAGCAGAGCTCCTCAGCAGTGCCATGTGGTTCTGGATCCTGTGGCACTGCTGGCATGACCCAGATGCAGTAATGGTGAGTTGAATGTAGATTAGGCTCCTAATCATAGCTATGTCTGGTATGTCCTGTCCCATCTAGTTTTGGCGGTTCATAGACGAAAGGATGGAGACTAAGCCGGTGTCTGTCAGGCAGACTTAAAACCCCATGATGCCTCTTCTCTCTCTCTCAGGGTCACTTCCCATGGCCTGATGCGTCCGCATGGACAGATGAGGAACTGGGGATCCCAGCTGACGATGAGGAATGAGGTGCTCTCCACCCCACGCTCCACCCTACTGCCCCCAGGTGTGCCTTCTCCTCTCCACTACTGCTGCATCAGTGTTCTCAACCCCAGGATCTGTTACACATCCTCAAGGGATGTTTGTCAATGAGAATGTCTTGTCCTCTGATGAAAGCTTGTGTCCATCACACAACGGATAGTCATACATTGATGGGAAATATAATTCTTATTGTCAGTACAGTAATGCAATTGTGTAGGCTATTGTTCAAGCACTACAGCCCTTCTGTATCAGGATGCTAATATGCCCATCTCAATTAGGTTATTTACCATAGCAGTGGCATTGTTTGAAACCATAGGTGTAAGTATATTCTAATATTTATTCTCTATTTCTTGCATTTCTAGACCTTATGTGGGCCCGGTCGCTACCCAAGTCTACCTGGAGGTCACAAGGGTGTCCCGGGAGGCTTTGTTGTACATAGACCAACAAATAAAATTCAATTTATTCTAACACATATCTTTGGGGTGTGTACATATGGAACTCAATGACTGTTTTTGAATGTGTATAATAACTCATTTTTAGTCCTAGTTTCGTGTAAAAAAAAAGTCAATTTAACAGAATCAGTTCATTTGTATATTTACAGGTTATTTTTGAAATGAAACATATTCAATGCATCAAGTGTCACAGTAAGCCAGTGTTTGTATGGTTCAAATCATTATGTTAAATCATAAATCAAACCATCTGAAAGTCTAATGCACAGAGAGAAGAAACGTGACCATCGATCGAAAACACAAATAGATCTGCATGTAAGAGTTTACGGTAAATACTGTACAATGAATGAGAGAACTGCTGTTAATAACAAACCCTGCCTGCAGGCTAGCGCTCGTGCTTATTATTACACAGACGAGTGGTGAGGACTTGAACATGCAATAAGAGTTCAAAGGTGAAAGTGTAGTGTTCTAAGAAATGTCTGGTAATGTGATTAAACACTGTATTCTGTGGAGGGGAAGACATGAAAGTGTAATCTTTGTGTCATGATTAGGTGAAATATCTCATTAGGGGCTGAGCGATAGACCACAGGTGCACTGCAAGTTAAAATCATAGCACAGCTTTCAAGTCAGATGCTGTTCAAAGGGACATAAAGTTACTTGGCAACTGAGTAAGTCGATGTCATTTAGTGAAATACTCACTCTGTAGTTCAACACCTACGAGTGGTGAGGGGGGTCTGCTCTGTCAAAAGGTAGATGCTGGAATATTGAATGTCTTGGATATTGAGTTACATATTGAAATTGATACAGTGAAGTAAAACCTACTAGTAGCTAGGTAGAGCTTGAGCATAGACGATGACCATGTTCATTTCTTCAACTTGGTCAATTCCAATGCACAACTGCTTAGTTATATGAGATGAGGAGAAAGAAGTGTATCAGTGGAACAGGAGTCTGGTTGGAAGAACATACCTTAGTAGTGTACATGATGTAGCTGGTGATTAAATCAGAGGTCATAGCTGTGGCATCATTCCCTGAGAGTGAAGAACTATAAATCCCAAACAAATCTCACACGCACACACCTCACTTCAGCACCATATCATATGAATACCAAAAAAAAAATCTCGCCCTATTAAAATTCTTCAAACGTACTTTTCATCAGATTGAAAGGACCACCGAAGGTCATGATTGTGTGTTTAAAAATAATAATAATTGTCTGTCGTTAGACAACGTCAGGTAGGCTATAAAAGACACCTGTCCACAGAAGCAATCAATCAATCAGATTCCAAACTCTCCACCATGGCCAAGACCAAAGAGCTCTCCAAGGATGTCAGGGACAAGATTGTAGACCTACACAAGGCTGGAATGGGCTACAAGACCATCGCCAAGCAGCTTGGGGAGAAGGTGACAACAGTTGGTGCAATTATTCGCAAAAGGAAGAAACACAAAACAACTGTCAATCTTCCTCGGCCTGGGGCTCCATGCAAGATCTCACCTCGTGGAGTTGCAATGATCATGAGAACGGTGAGGAATCAGCCCAGAACTACACGGGAGGATCTTGTCAATGATCTCAAGGCATCTGGGAACCATAGTCACCAAGAAAACAATTGGTAACACACTACGCCATGAAGGACTGAAATCCTGCAGCGCCCCAAGGTCCTCCTGGCTCAAGAAAGCACATATACAGGGCCGTCTGAAGTTTGCCAATGAACATCTGAATGATCAGAGGAGAAACTGGGTGAAGTGTTGTGGTCAGATGAGACCAAAATCGAGCTCTTTGGCATCAACTCAACTCACCGTGTTTGGAGGAGGAGGAATGCTGCCTATGACCCCAAGAACACCATCCCCACCAACAAACATGGAGGTGGAAACATTATGCTTTGGGGGTGTTTTTCTGCTAAGGGGACAGGACAACTTCACCGCATCAAAGGGACGATGGACGGGGCCATGTACCGTCAAATCTTGGGTGAGAACCTCCTTCCCTCAGCCAGGGCATTGAAAATGGGTCGTGGATGGGTATTCCAGAATGACAATGACCCAAAACACACGGCCAAGGCAACAAAGGAGTGGCTCAAGAAGAAGCATATTAAGGTCCTGGAGTGGCCTAGCCAGTCTCCAGACCTTAATCCCATAGAAAATCTGTGGAGGGAGCTGAAGGTTCGAGTTGCCAAACGTCAGCCTCGAAACCTTAATGACTTGGAGAAGATCTGCAAAGAGGAGTGGGACAAAATCTCTCCTGAGATGTGTAGCAGGGCAGGGGTGGTAACATTTTGGAGTCACAATATTTTACAATATTACCCATTCTCTTAACACACAACCCCACTAACCTCTGGACACTATGAGAGGAAATCAGAAGACAGAATGGAAACAGGTTCAAATCAAGTTTCAAGAAAGCCTAAATTGGACAGAATAGAAGTGGAGAAAAAAATATTGAGTTAGGTCAGTAAAATCATTTCTACACAATATATCATGACCACAAAGTCTAAAATGTCCACATACACAATAAGCATGAGAAGAGAGAAAAAAAATAAACCCCTTTAGAAGAACATCTCCAGAATAGCTGAGGTTTAGGGCTAAAATATAATAAAATCATTATTCAATTAATAAATACATAATTCAGAATCCATCAAAAAGAACACATTAAAAACAATCAGATTAAAAAAAAACAAATAAATTAAAGCAGGATATTTATACGAGTTGTTATTCACCATCAATGTTTTTCAACCAGGTAAACAACTTATGTTCCTACACTATAAAACAGTTCTTATTGAGGCAGCACTCTGTGTTAATCTCCCTTTGACCATCAGAGGGCAGCAAAATCAAATCGATTCTATATAGAGGAGTATGGCTTTCATATGATCTATCAAAGCATTAAAAAACATGAAATACAAGTAGAGAGACTTATGAACTAATGCAGACTGGTTAAAATGTAATTGTTTTAGACCTGATGTGTTTTTACCCCCCAAAAAACAGTGCAATGATAAATTAGGCAATCGTCTTTACATAGATAAATGACACTCAATGTGGCAGGGAAGACTAACCAAGAGAGTGCTGCCTCTGTCAAAACGTATCTCTCCTCTACTCAACATCATTATTGCTGGTGTGATTGAGATAAGGGGAGTTGGGGGGAGCATGGAGGACGTACAAACATTAAGCACCATTTTGAAAAATTAGCTTAGCACTTTTTTCTCAGGGCCAAAAAGGACCCTACTAGAGAGAGCCCAGACACGGAGCCAGGTGGGTCAATGCCAGTGTCAGTCCTGTGGAAAGCCAGCCTGTCTATCCCAACTTCCATCTTGTCCTGGGTCTCATCCAGTTCATAGTGCTGCAGATATTCAAGGAAGGCAGGGCTGGGACATGCAGATGGTGTGACGTCAAGCAGCCTGCATTGGCTTATGCACGTCATTAACACTGGCTGAAGAATTGTCTTCAATGTTGCGATGTACTGCAGACCTCATTCGGACATCTGTAACATTTCCCCATGGCACGTTAACGCCCACTGGAACTCTCTTTAAGATTCCCTGAAGTTGAGTAATCGACATGCTTTTTTGTTTCTCCATTATGTTTTAGTGTGCTTGCAGTGAAGCTGAGCGCTTGCTTGGTAGCTTGCTCGTGTGAATCCAATACCCTGTGGTCCTAAGCATGCACAGTGAGCCTGTTCGTTTGTGTGTCCGACAACAATTCTCTCAGGTGGGCCCTTTCCCCAGGCAGTGATTTCTCCAGGACAAATGTGTGTACAGAAAAATCTGGATGTGAGGACAGGGGTCTTTTACCCTCCTTTAGCTTTGCCTGTGGCCCTCAGAGCTCTATACAAAGACACCATTGTGCTGGTTCATCTTCAGGATCTTCCCCAGTCTCTGCTTGGCCGTGGCCATTCCTTTCTTGGGCCGCTTGCCTGAAAAACAAACCCGACACCTCACATGAATGGCTGACGTGCTAAATAAAGAGAGAGTTGTGTCACAGTAGCATCTAATCCCTGAGAACATCAACTAATTACTAGATGAATGGAGAGAATCAAGGACTTGTCCACGTACCTTTCGTGGCCTGGTTGCTGACGGGAGGGGAGTTGGAGGCGTGCCTCTTGGAGGGGTGCAGGGGGGGAGACATGGAGGGATCACAGTACTGGTAGTCGTCGGCCTCTGGGCTGGCGTCGTGGCTCAGGGGGCTGGGGGCCCCAAGGGAGAGGGGCCCCTGATTGTCCCAGGCCTCGCTGCTGCTGTTGCCCTGGCTGTCCATGGGGCTCTTGTCCCCCGCCACACGACTCTGGTGCTGCTCTCGGCGCTCCAGCAAGCCCCGGCTCGGGCTGGACCACCACGGCTCCTGGGAAGTGGCGCCCTCGTCTGGTTTGGAGGGGCACAGCAGGCCAGCCATGGACAGCATGCCCTGAATGGCCTCCTCTGTGCTGGGTGAGGTAGGACGTTCTCTGCAGGGACAGAAAGAAGAGACACACAGTCAATTACAGCCCACTGCCAGACTCCATAAAAGCCAACTGTGCTTATCTTTACCACTCAAAAGGGAAGTTATGAATATAATCTTTGTATGCATAATTGGCACAGGCTTCAGTTTAAAATCCAATTCCATCTCCATCGTTATGAGATTACTAAACCGATGGCGTTATCAATGTTTAACTTTTAGACACTTCTACAAGAAATCATCCCTTAATAAATAACAAAATTGCAAAAATAAATGTTGTGATTCCAATAACAGGAGCTGTGCTTTAGCTCACCCACGCACACAGTGGGTCAGATCACCCACCTTTTGAGTGGCTTGTTTTGGTCCCGGAGGTTCAGGTCTGTCTGGTCCAGCTCTATGGTGTGCCCCGCGGCCCTCTGGGATGAGCCCCTCTCCTCATCATCACTCTGGGAGCTCCCTGAATCTTCCTCAGAAGAGGTGTTTTGCTGCAGAGGGGGAGAGAGATGAGAAAATGGTTGAGTGATGACACACACAACAGACAGTGTTAAGTGCTATGTTCTCACAGACAAAACCACAATGGGGGTAGACAGTGTCAATATCAGGTACCTGTGTGTTGGAATCACTGTCCGAGTCCATGTCCGACACGTCGGAGAGTCCTGAGGCTTCTTCCCTGAGTTCAGTCTTAACCCTCTCAAGACCCCCTGGGAAAGCAATCAGGCCTCATTAACCATAGAGCACAGAATGGTAGGAACCATCCCCTCTCTGTGTCCAAGTCAACAGGCTACTAGAACTAGTCTGTGTCAACAACATGACCCTTTAGAAAGCATGGTGTGTCTGAGACAATGAGGTCAATAAACTTAAAGTTGAGTCAGATTATAAACCACACAATGTACAGTATATATCATGAATTGCTTCAGCATCATGACTTACTGAGGTGGTCTGGTTTCTCCTCTCCTCCCATAATGCTGTGCTGCTGTTCCTGGTCTGACTCTGTCTTCATCTCCTCTCTGCTCTTCAGTTGGCCCACGGACGACCTCTCACTCTCCGCCTTCACCGGGCTGCTAGCCGTGCTACTACCTGGTCTCCTCGCGTCTCGGATGATTCGTCCGTTGTGCAGCGTGAGACGCAGGTGTGTGTCTGGGTTCTCAGCAGCAGCGGCAGAGGCGGTGGACACCATGTTGAACTTCCCATACACCGGGGGACAGAAGGTAGGGTCCTGTGGTACACAGAGACAGGGTTATAGGAGAGATCAGGACTCATTCAACACAAGTATCACACCTTTCTATTGAATTGTATTACTCTGTATAGTATGGGAACACTTTTGCTTTTTGTAGGAGTAATGCACAGAAAATGGCAATGTGGTTTATTGATTGATCTAATGATTATTTCCAATAATAACAAGGCATTTAAATGTGACATATGCGAGAGAATGTGTGACATTCTAGTTTTGCGTTGTGGGAGTTTGACATGTTCCTCTCACCTCCTCCAGAGGGCCCACCTCCAGCCTCTTGAGCACCTCTCTGGTGTGCAGCTCCAGGATCTCCAGGTTAGAGGGCACCTTAGGACCCTGCTCCTCCTGCTTCTGCTGCTCCCGGAGCTTCCGGGCTGCCCGCCGCGCCTGACGAGCCGGGCACACCCTCTCCAGCGTGGAGCGCGTGGACGGACACTGCCCTCCGCCACTTCCCTGAGATTTCACTGGCTTGTTGGTGCCACCACTGCTGCCCTTGTCCTCCTGTTGGGACACACATAACATTACACCATTAGAGGAGGGAGTGGTTTGAACACAACCTCAATCTTTAAAATCTACTCTACGCCTATGGACAAGGAAGTCGCAAGGGAAAGATTGCCAGTTACAAACGAGGTGCAAATCCATCACATCAGTGACATACGGCATGATACTGAAAGATGAATTAGAATGACCCCTCAGATTGAGTGCTCCTCCACCTACACAAAGGTGACACTCCTCAACCCTCCACCCCCTGTGACCCCAGCCCAGCCCTTACCTCCAGGTAACGTATTTCCTTGGTCAGCTCTTTAATGAGATGGTTGGGCCTGATATGGTCTGGGACCTCGCTGGTGGGCTCGGTAACCTGCAGACAGAATGTTCCACACACAATGAGGGTGGAGTTGAACAGAGAGGCTCTGTTTCCACCACTGGCACAGTGCCATCAGATCCCCCCCCCCCTCAATCAGAGCTCAGCTGGGCGAAACCATTCAGTCTAGATATTCATCAGCCAACATTGTAGAGTCAGGTGCAGTATAGAGAAGGTGAAGCCAGTACCCTCACCCATAGATACAATGTTAAAAGAACAGAAATGTTCCATTTCATTCTGTGCCCCTCACCTCTCTCTTCAGCCAGGTTTTCAGTGGACTGATTAAAGCTTTCACTCCCTCCACTAGGTAGGTCTGGGGCGGACAGTTGTCTTCTCGCAACTCTGAGAAAGAGAACAAAGTCATTATATATGTTTTTTTATGATGCTTGTGAAATAAAATAAAAAGCCAATAAAATATATTGTAGTATTTTGTGGATTTTGTTGCTCACCTTTCAGGGTCTCCAGCAGGTTCTTGGCCACATACCAGCAGATAGCCTCAAAGTAGGGAAACTTGAAGAGGTCTGGGGTCCTCAGACGACGCTCCATCTCGTAACACCTGAGCTGCATGCTAATGTTGAGGTTGTGGAGGAAGTTGCCTCCAAACGCCATGCAATCCTGAGAGGTGAGGACGGCATGGATCCATCCTGCAGAGGGCAGCACACACACAGTCAACGTTTGACTTGCTGACTGTGATAATACAAGGACACTGTGGCTAGGTGTTGTATTTGCCAAAACGGCAGGCAAGCATCGATCATCATGTCACCAGAATAAGACCCTTGATATTTATTGGAAAGGAGCATCAAGCTCATCACCGTGCACTTTCACCACCCTGTGAAGTTCATTATGACTTATTATTTCATCTGTAGTCTAATAAACTGCATGCTTTCCCGAATCGTAGTGGGAATACCACACAACATATCGTGTGACTCCAAGTTTACTTCGATATGATGGTTTCCATCGCATAAATAACTTTACAGACACAAAAAGATCCCACCTTGTCTAGCGTATTTTGTTTTGACGACACATTTTGTGTCTCCATCAGGTCTGTCGTCACATTCTCTATCTGACATCTACTTTACTCGCATAAAATAAGTTGGATGGAAACCTGGTATGACACACAAACACCAACCTGATAAAAACCCACGCGCACACACACACTGTTATCACTGACCTGATAACACAAACATACAGGGTTATCTCAGGCCAGCCTGACCTGGTCAGGTTAAACACAAGGCACTGACATAAGAGCCAGGCGGTGGGTAAGAGGACTTTCTGCCCTGCTCTCAGATAAAGCAGTGCTCTTTATACCTCCGGAGGTGACAGAAAGCAGAGACGGAGGTGACACAGCAGGCACTGACAGGGTTACGGGGTGACGGGGTTAAGCAGCCAAGTATGTTGTGCTCTACCCCCTCCCCAAATCTCTATCCCACCTCTCCACACTCCCTTAACCCCCTGGAGAAGACACAGCTGCAGCCCTGGTCCTGATTAGTCATAACCTTTACTCAAGGTATACAACTTTGGGAGCATTTTAAAACGTGTGGGGTTTCTTCTTGTTCCTATGGGAGTATTGACACAGAAATGTATGGATACCCTGAACTTGCGAAAAGTCTGTTGCTTGAGTTGCACACCATTGCTGTTCTGAACCGATTACATATCCTGTATAGTTTTACATGAACCTCAGGTGCTCTCCATAGGCAAAAAAACATGGAATCCTGTGTTCTACAAATGTAATACGACTCCCCCATTAGGTAAGCTTATGGAAGGATCCATGTGGTGATAACGGAGACTGTGAGATCAGGGTAAATCACTAAGGACATGAGTGAAACCAACTGATGACAAGTCGCACTCTAAAAGCCATCTGTAGTTACCGAGGAGAACAACGGGCATGTGTTAACCATGAGGTTCTGCTTACTGCGCTCGCCCTTTCAGGGCTCTCTAAACGTGTTACGTCATCAAGACATGGGGAGGAATGTGAGAGGTGAATTACAAGTCACATGCTAAAGCAGAGGGTTTGCTGAGGATAAAGTAGGCCCAAGCGCTTCTAATATGGTCGCTTTCATGACATTACCCGTGCAATTATTCCATTAGGGCACTTTCTATTGTGTTATGAAAATATAGACGTGTGTCTAATGTCTAAGCTGTTGCTGTTTCCAAATTCTCTCGGCAATGACATGTCATCAGTGTTTTAAAAAGGGAGTAATTTTCCTGGCAGGCACCCTGGGAAACTAGACTGTTTTGTTTCTGTCTACTTTGATGATGTAGACTGGTTTCTCTATGGAGGGGCAAACAAGGCTACCAGATAGTCTATTTATAGATCACCAAAAGCAGGAATGTGAGAGAGGTATTTAAGGACACAGTGGAAAAGGTATTTTAGGGACACTGTCTAATTCCAGAGGGGTTCCTGTGTCACACGGTCACAGGGCCAGTCTACATCATCAGTGGTGACCCCTCTACATCCACTACTGCAGTTCCAGGAACACAAGCCTGTTTAGCTGTTCTCAGGAAAACTAAATACATGGCCTGTTACAAGAGAATACAAATAAAGACCAAATGCTTGCGCACACACACCAGTGGAGGCTGCTGAAGGGAGGACTGCTCATAATAATGGCTGGAACGGAAACTATGTGTTTGATACCATTCCACCTATACCGCTCCAGCCATTACCACGAGCCCGTCCTCCCCAATTAAGGTGCCACCAACCTCCTGTGACACACACACACACCTGTGGGGATGAGCAGCGTGGTTCCTTGCTGCACGACACACTTGTAGCACTTGTCCACCTTGTCCCCGAAGAACACTTCACTCTGGTTGGGGGAGGAGCTCCACGCCTCGTATAGTGCAAGGTTGGCCTGGGTCGGCTTGATCATGTAAAATATCTTCTCACCCTGGAAACACAAGGAGAGTAGAGAGAGTTAATGAGAGTTCCTTTTTGAAAAAGCATCTTAACCCATGAAACGTCACAATGTGACTATAAAATTAGGAGCACTTAGATGTCTGCTAAAATGTTTCATTTCAGAGACACACAGATGTGGTTGACTTTTACACACCAGGGGTTTGTTCTTCCATTTGGGTGCATTTCCCAGCACTCTTTTTCCCAAGCTGAGCTGCAATATTGCTTCTATAGCTAACGAGAGTTCCTGCCAGCCAGCCTGGTGAAGTCACCATGAACACAAAGCGTAGTTTGTGATTAGCAGCTGTTGGTTACTTTGTTGCCGTTGGAGGGATCATTATTACCACGGCTGGGGACAGAATTTCCCCTGGAGCTTGCCGACGACTAAATGTACTGCTGAGGTCAACTTCCGCCAGGGTACCCAATCAGCCTAGATTGCTCTAAATAGCCCCCCTATGTACAAACACACTTGATTAAATGTCAGCGAGCATTACAAGTGGTGAGGGGAATGCCAAAGAGCGAGCCAGGCCATCGATTTATCACCAAACAATGTGTGGACAGAGTTGATTTTATTGACTTGCCAAACTACGACAAACTGCACTTAGCTCACTGCTAGGATTTGATAGCCTAGCACTCATGTAGGACTTGTAACTAACACACACACACACACACACACACACACACACACACACACACACACACACTCACCCAGAGAACGTGGTACCACACAGAGGTGCCCCCGAAGTCTATGTGGAAGTCAGTGTAGCTGTTCATGACCCCCATGAGGCAGTACTTCTGGACAAAGGGTTTGGGGAAGAAGGAGTCATCTGGCCAGTAGTTCTCCACCCAGGACATCTTCTGAGCTACGTTAGGTACCACCACCTGATCTGCCATCCTGGAGGACAGAGAATGTGGTAAGAGAGGTACGGCTACTTAAGAGGGTCAAATCACAGTAAAAGGGCTGAAATGTACTGAATAATGATATTATTGATAAAATTGTTTGATCACTTTCGTCATGAGCGGTACATGCGGCAGAATGAATTTTGATTGTTTGTGTTCATTCTTGTTTTTCCCCTTGTGTTGTATGTGTTTTTGTAGCACCCAAAAATGCATCATGAACGACTCAACTTGACAGCAGTCAGTGGTTACTCTTGGTTTCTGTTTGCATGTCTTGTAAAAAGCATTCATTTAAAATGTATCCATTTGAATAGAAAGAGAGTCAGCAATGGAGTATTAGAAGTAGGACCACATCACAACTTACTTGGTATCAGAGAACTCCAGGCTGATAACGTTGAGCACCTTGGGCCGATGAGGCTTGTAGTAATACTTGACGAACTCTTTCAGCTTCATCTTGCTGTCTGTTTGCCTGGCCACGTCGATGACGTCAATGACTTTGTCACCGCCTGTGGACGACAAGAGAATGATGCCGAAGCCGTTTACACTCAAGGTCATATAGTTGAGCAGACAGCAAAAAGTAGTATCAGTCTGCCCATGGAATGATCATCCTTTTCTGTCTACAGTCTAACAGTTGAACCATTCATTCAGATATAATACATTTGGCCAAGAGAAAGGACCATTCCTATTGAAGTGACATTGACACCAGGGTAAGGATTTTTAATGGGTGTCAGTGGGCGAGGGGATCTGAACTCTGAAGCTCTCTGGCATTTCCATGTCTCTGTACAACTCCTACGGGAGAGACTGGCACATCCAATACACCAAAGGAGCGGATGGAGTGGGGCAGACAATCTGTCCAGTCCATATGAGTCCCAGAGGTAGAGACTGGGGAGGGGGCCACGGTCTTTAATGTGTGTGTGTGTGTGAGGTAAAAAGCTACCAGCACACACACACACACAGCTGGGAGGCAGTGAATCAAACGGCACAGTGAAGGCCGGGGAGAGAGAGAGAGAGAGGGACGGGGACAGTGTAGGGACAGGACAGCTGGTGCTTGTGTGATCCCCACCACCACCACCCCACACACACCTCCCTAATGTTCCCCAACCCCCTACACACCACACACACACGGGGGGTCCAGCTGGCCAGTGTCTGATGACAGGGAACAGCTGGAGTTAGGGTAGCGAGCCAAACAGAGAGAGCAGAATGGTGTGTGCTCAGTCACTACCAGCCAACAACCCCAAAACAGACCATAGTAAATACTCCACCTTTATATAGTGGCCATAGCACACGGTCAAACATTTACATCATTTAGCAGACGCTCTTATCCAGAGCGACTTACAAATTGGTGCATTCAACTTAGGATAGCAAGTGGGATAACCACATTTTTTCCTTCTTTTTTTTTTTATATGGGGGGGGGGGGGTAGAAGGATTGCTTTATACTATTCCAGGTATTCCTTAAAGAGGTAGGGTTTCAAGTGTCTCCGGAAGGTGGTCAGTGACTCCGCTGTCCTGGCGTCGTGGGGGAGCTTGTTCCACCATTGGGGTGCCAGAGCAGCAAATAGCTTTGACTGGGCTGAGCGGGAACTGTGCTTCTGTAGAGGTAGGGGAGCTAGCAGGCCAGAGGTGGATGAGGTCAAACTATGTATGTGTTTTAAGCAATGTGTCTACACCTGGCTTTCACTCCAGCTAGACAATGTAGGGTTCTTACAGACACAATCCATTCACATTATATTTAGACTGAAAACTCAACCTACCCCCAAGGAGGAACGACATTAACCACACAATTTTAAGTACTGGGAGGTGACAAATGCCATGCGGTTTATCCTAAGCTGGCCGACCATAGTCTAGGCTTGGGTAACCCCAGGAGACAGCAGGTTCCAGGCCTGTCCCCCATTGTGTCCTAACTGTAAGGAGGTAGGTAACCCGATCCTCCTAGTGTTCTGTCTCCACCCAGTCAAAACACCTGTGCTGCTTCACATCAGAGCAGCTTAATGCTCAACAGAGCATGGCAGAGAACTTAATGATAAAAACACAAGCGGGTTTGGGTTGTGTTGGGCGTCCAGTCGGCCCAGATAGCTGTGGGTTAGTAATGGGCTTGTAATAGGAGCCTTGTGGTACCAGGCCTTTCTATTCTATAAAAGAGCGGAGGTGGTCATGTTGGGGGCTGAGTAAGACTAGCCCTCCCCTCCTTTAGGGCTTATTCAGCCATTGGGAGATGATTGATAAAGGGGGTAAATACCCTCTGAACCTGGCAACACTCTTAACCTGGCAACCTGTTTGTTTGACGGACAGATGGCGTCCACGCAAAGTTAGGCACTCACTATCTGACAGAGAATGCATTCATTAGCTTTGAATTATATTCTATTTCAAAGCAATAGGTATAGCTAACATACGTCATATCAAATAGGCATCCCATGCAGTAGACAGGCATTGAATGGGTTGGTGATCAGACTTAGTTTGTTGTTCTACATGTTACATTTCTGCCCTGCTACTCCATTTATTTACTTTGACTCCGGGGATGTTTGCAAATAGACAGAGCAAATCAAACCCAGGGTGCTTGAGCATGCCCACACCCACCCACAAACAGTACACACACAAACAAACAGTATACACTCTCGCTCTCCATGTCCTTACCGACAACTTGCTCCACATCTTTGACAGAGAAGGATGGTGGAGGCAGCCTGAGTCCCAGTCCCTCCATGTTGGACACAGCGATGGGGTACTGCCAGCCGTGGCTTTCCAGGTACCTCTGGGTCACCTGCTCCCCAGGCATCCACTGCAGGATCTCATCCCCACTGCAACACACACAGACAGAGACAATGGTTAATGGCAAATTCCTCTTGATATGTTCAACCCAATGAGGGAAATTGAGAACATAATACATGTTTAGCATTGTGACTAAAACAAAGATCACAGTCTTGTTCATAGCTTGGCATCAGAGTCCTTGGTGGTTGGTGTTCTGGGCATCTACCTGGCAAAGGTCCTGTTCTGGAGCTCCTTGACAAACACAGAGGTGCCAGCCTGCACTGGCTTGGTGCCATCGTCCAGCTCTGTGTAGTCATGCCTGTGCCAGTTGTTGCGTTTTTTCACTGTAAGAGGAGAGACGCAGAACATCAGACTCACAGAACACCACAGCATTCACTGGCCCTGAAAATGATCACTATAGCCAGTGACAGACCTGAGACGAATATTTACTGTATTATTCAATCTTCTTCACTTAAACCAACAGAGCCTTGTGAATTATGGATAATAGTCATTAGTCTTGATAATATATATTCCCTAGCACAGAGGCCAAGGTGAGGGCCATGCCCAATTTAAGTGGAAGGATTACGGCCCCATTCAATTAGCCTGTTAATGTCTGGCCCCGGGCTCTCAGGGGTCAGCCTCCTCTAAATCAGACTGGAGACCATACTGCTCTCCTGGGGACAGTCCATCAGCCATGGAGGGAGAGAGAGGGAGAGGGGAGAGGGGGAGGGATGGAGAACAGGCACGGGGGTAGATTAAATGGAGAGAGAGCGCGAGATAAAGAGAGAGAGATGGTAGAAAGACAGATTGGAGAGAAACGGGGAAGAGAGGGCGAAGGAAAGCGATGGTGAGACCCACCGAGGAAGAGAAGACAGAGAGAAGACAGGATGGACAGAGAGATACACACAAACACAGACTGGAATACTGACTCAAGGAGGGTCCGTGTTGGGGTTCACAGTTAGGACAGTGGTAAACATCAATGTCCACCGCATGGTGCTCCTCCACCTGGACACAGCTGTGAGGAGACAGGAGACATCATATTACTGTCAGTATATACACAACTGTTAAACAGACAGCACCGTGATAGCCTGGTCCCAATATTTGGCGTCACATTGACTATAGGAGTTGGCAAGTCAGCACAAACAAATCTGGGACCAGGTTAGCGCAATTGTGTTTTCACTGTCAGATCCAATAAATGAACTGACGGGACAGGAGACTGTTCTCTCCAGGATCATAACACCAGAGAAGCTGTTGTGGAAACAGACTCCCTCTCACTGATATCCCCAACCATGGTGGTTCTAGGGCCCATGCTCTGGACAGCTTGAGGGCTTGTGAGAGTGATTAAGAGGGTTTTGTACACAATGGAGTCAGTCCACTGCATGAAATAATTGACTTTGTCTGGGGGGACTCCTACTTACATGATTTAAAGCGTTTGAGAAAAGGGGTCACATACAAGTTTCTCTCACTGGGTCATCCTTTGGGCCAGATATGAGACTTAAGATATCATGGTTTTGCTAAACTGACACCCTGTTCTGACTGTCTGTGTGGCTGTGGATAGTGAGGTATAGGAGGAGCAGAGGGGGGATAGAGAGGTTAGAGGTAAACATTGAGCCAGAAACACTAGAGTACAGTGTACGTGGAAGATGACCTCTGGTGACCTTTTGGCCCCTCACTTTTTTAAAGGAGGTACGAAAATGCAAGCAACCTTGAAGTTGGGAGGCAATTGTTATTTTTGGTCTGGAGGACAGTTGCGTTAGGGCAAGGAGTTAGTTAGTTAGGGCAAGGAGTTAGTTAGTTAGGGCAAGGAGTTAGTTAGTTAGGGCAAGGAGTTTTCCTCCTGGGCTCTAACAATAACCTCTAGGCCACTCTGGGGCAGACCTATCCTATTGGCTATTAACAGACTGGGAGTCACAACTATGTGTTTGTCTCAGTATCCCACAGAACTAAGACAGTGTCCGTGTCACTCAAACCACTATACCACCAAACCCCCGACCGCCCCACAACAGCCAGACCACAGGCAGTAACACACACATTCCTCTGGTGCATACCAAAGCTCTGTTCCATAAGAGAACACTGAATAATAAAAGGCTTTGAGTGTTGCCATTATGCGTGTAAAAAGGGAGAAAAACTGCAGGCAGCATTTTTGTGTCAACGGGGTATGGGAGGAATCTAAGCCAGCTTTTAAAGAGCTTCTTCTCAAGTAAACAAAGAGAAAAATTGTCTAAGCTAAACTTTGGTTTCAGCTGACGAGCAGACAGAGACTAATGTGGGCTAATATATTTTCCTGCTCTGACATGGAAGACTATATAGCATAAAACACTAAGGGCCTATTTCTTCATAGGCACAATCTGTTTTCTTGCAAAAAAATAAAAAAATATGAGTTGCCCTAGTAGCTAGTTTAAGAGGCTTTTGAGTTCATGAAGAAGGGCAACAACTTTGCCAATCTCAAGCAATTCCACCTTCTTCCCTCTCTGCAGTCTCTCTCTCATTCAAATCTCCCTGCTCTGTGACTGGTCTTCAGTGGGTACATTTTAATTAGTTGAGGTCCTGCTCTCTGAAGTTTGGAGTGACACAAACAGTGGAAATCTTCCTTTCAGTGTGAAAACAAAAAACACTGGGGGACTTGCTTAGGGTGGTAAATGACAGCCATCAAAGTTCCAGCTCACTCAGGGTCCAGGAGTTAGCCTGGAGGCTAGGTGCTGTGTGAGGATATAGTAAAGGTTTCAATAGCAGATAATAGCATTCTATTTTCACCGAGGGCCTGGGAGGGGACACAGAGTTCTAACCAGCCACTATCAGCGTTGATCTGAGTGGAAATTGCAGGAAATTGTCAAGAGAAACAAAGGCCAGCAGGAAGCGGCGTCACAACTGAACTTCCTCTGGTGGCGTGTTGTTGCTGGTTAAGTCTACTTAACAATTGGGTTGTTGTTCAGCAGGATATTGATAGACAGCAGCACACACGCTCACTAACTGTACAGCCTGAAGCTATAACAGGTTGGGACTGGGAGTAATAACCGAGGTAAGGAAGAGAACCTTGCCTAATTTTAGGGAGGGCTAAGATTTTTTCCTGGTCAGGTCATCAGGAAAAACTCAGGGCACCATTTATAGAAGATCCAATGCTATAAACTCCTTCAGTATCCTAACCCTGCCCCCTACCGAGTGGCCTCCACAGTCCACCTCCACTCACTTCCTACGTCAGCGGTCAAGACGGAGTAGAACGCAGCAGTGGGCTGGAATCTTGGCTCCTGAGGTTGCTCAGTGGCCTTGCTGGGGAGACTAGCATGAGTCACGGCACCAATTATGTCACCCCAGGACTGCCATGAATTATCCTGCCTGTCTGTCGGGGTGGGACATGCTAGAGAGCGCACAACAGAGTGAGCGCGTGGCTGAGGTGAGCCAGGGAGGGATTGAGCCAAGCAGACCTCCTACACCGCCTCCTCTGCCTGGTCATCTTGTGTAACACCAGCACAGCGAGAAGCAGGGCACTGTGCCACCACACTGACGCTGCTTCTTCCCTTGCGCAGGAATGACGGGTTGGGTGAGTCACTTGGAAACTGGTGGGCTGGGGAGTGTTGATGATGATGCAACTTGTGTAGCTACTGATCCTTGATTCCTTGAAGTCAAATCAATCTCACTCTTTAAAAACTACTGAGGCTGCCCCATCGAAGACAACAACAAAACTATAAATCTGGCTTAAGTTAAGAGCTGTGTGGAAGACAAAACTTTGGTATTTAGTGTATAGTAATAAATCAAGTGACATCAGCCCTGGGAGAAATAAAGCCTAATATGGGTCTGTGTGTCTGTCACTGTCTCACCACTCTCCCAGAAACAATGCCAGTCCCCTGCCAATAGTGGGCAGACACCAGCCTAGCAGCATGAGGTCAAACCATAGAGATAGACAGAGGACTCATCTTTGTATCTGTGCCATTATAGCGTGACAGCATGGACAGCGCCATTGAGGCAATCTTCATTTTAAAGTAGTACATGTTCTTCTTCATTGGCTGATTGCTCCCAACTCCTAAGAATCCACACCCAGTTGCCTACTTTAAAAGGGTGGAGGCCGTCGATGGCAATGTCCATGCTAAAATAGGTTATATCCATGAGTTCTCTATCTATCTCTATAGGCTAAACATCCTGTCCTGAATCAGGAGAGTTGTCAACTATCCCACCGCCATCAGCTCCTCTCCCTCTACTTCCTCTGTTGTGGAGCTGCCTGCCTTCCTGTGTGACTGGGGTTATTCATTAGTCTATGTACTGTGAGGGGTTCATTGTGTCTCAATGATCAGCAGAGACACACAAAGGGTTGTAGGCGGGCTCAGCCATTACTTTAAGCACTTAATAACCCCCCTGCATAGGGCTCCGACACGCCTACATTAGAGAACTGGCAGATAGCTAATGGATAATGGGGGAAAGGATGGGTGATGGGGAGGGGGGGTGAGGGCAGATAAACACACCTGCCTGGGTTCATTTAGACCCAAAGGGCACCTGACTCCAGCCTTTCCAAATATTAGGTCCAAGTGGGCATAAATCAGACCATTTGAACCCTCACTGAGAAATGGAAAGGATACCGGTCATATCAATGGGGTATAATGCACTGATGAAGGGCCTTAGTACACAACAACCTCTCTACACCATTAACCCACGTCACTAAGCTTCTACAGACAGCTTATGGTACAAGCACTTCTCTGTAGGCAGCTGGAAAACAACAAAAGAGGATTGCTGCTTTGTTGTTTATGGAGCATTGCAGTTCCCCCGGGGAGGAAGTGGAACAACTTCATTGTTTATGGTGCAGGTTGCATTGCCTTGAGGCTCTCATGTTGAACTGAGTAATTTATTCTAAGGCGGTTGGGGACTGGGCTTGTGTCTTCTCACACATGCTCTCAACATAGGCCTACCTCTTTTAGTGAGCCTCATACACCTAGGCCTTCACAGTACACACTAACTCAGTCTCTGCCACTCCCACTAGATCTGTCAACACATGATTACACTGGCAGAGAAACTGGATTGGCCTTTAGTGCAGCAGAGCTTATCCTTCTAATATTCAAGCATGATACAGTGGGGGAAAAAAGTATTTAGTCAGCCACCAATTGTGCAAGTTCTCCCACTTAAAAAGATGAGAGAGGACTGTAATTTTCATCATAGGTACACGTCAACTATGACAGACAAAATGAGCAAAAAAAATCCAGAAAATCACATTGTAGGATTTTTTATGAATTTATTTGCAAATTATGGTGGAAAATAAGTATTTGGTCAATAACAAAAGTTTCTCAATACTTTGTTATATACCCTTTGTAGGTAATGACACAGGTCAAACGTTTTCTGTAAGTCTTCACAAGGTTTTCACACACTGTTGCTGGTATTTTGGCCCATTCCTCCATGCAGATCTCCTCTAGAGCAGTGATGTTTTGGGGCTGTCGCTGGGCAACACGGACTTTCAACTCCCTCCAAAGATTTTCTATGGGGTTGAGATCTGGAGACTGGCTAGGCCACTCCAGGACCTTGAAATGCTTCTTACGAAGCCACTTCTTCGTTGCCCGGGCGGTGTGTTTGGGATCATTGTCATGCTGAAAGACCCAGCCACGTTTCATCTTCAATGCCCTTGCTGATGGAAGGAGGTTTTCACTCAAAATCTCACGATACATGGCCCCATTCATTCTTTCCTTTACACGGATCAGTCGTCCTGGTCCCTTTGCAGAAAAACAGCCCCAAAGCATGATGTTTCCACCCCCATGCTTCACAGTAGGTATGGTGTTCTTTGGATGCAACTCAGCATTCTTTGTCCTCCAAACACGACGAGTTGAGTTTTTACCAAAAAGTTATATTTTGGTTTCATCTGACCATATGACATTCTCCCAATCCTCTTCTGGATCATCCAAATGCACTCTAGCAAACTTCAGACGGGCCTGGACATGTACTGGCTTAAGCAGGGGGACACGTCTGGCACCGCAGGATTTGAGTCCCTGGCGGCGTAGTGTGTTACTGATGGTAGGCTTTGTTACTTTGGTCCAAGCTCTCTGCAGGTCATTCACTAGGTCCTCCCGTGTGGTTCTGGGATTTTTGCTCACCGTTCTTGTGATCATTTTGACCCCACGGGGTGAGATCTTGCGTGGAGCCCCAGATCGAGGGAGATTATCAGTGGTCTTGTACGTCTTCCATTTCCTAATAATTGCTCCCACAGTTGATTTCTTCAAACCAAGCTGCTTACCTATTGCAGATTCAGTCTTCCCAGCCTGGTGCAGGTCTACAATTTTGTTTCTGGTGTCCTTTGACAGCTCTTTGGTCTTGGCCATAGTGGAGTTTGGAGTGTGACTGTTTGAGGTTGTGGACAGGTGTCTTTTATACTGATAACAAGTTCAAACAGGTGCCATTAATACAGGTAACGAGTGGAGGACAGAGGACCCTCTTAAAGAAGAAGTTACAGGTCTTTGAGAGCCAGAAATCTTGCTTGTTTGTAGGTGACCAAATACTTATTTTCCACCATAATTTGCAAATAAAATCATTAAAAATCCTACAATGTGATTTTCTGGATTTTTCCCCCTCAATTTATCTGTCATAGTTGACGTGTACCTATGATGAACATTACAGGCCTCTCATCTTTTTAAGTGGGAGAACTTGCACAATTGGTGGCTGACTAAATACTTTTTTCCCCCACTGTATGTAGGCAAAGTAGGTGTCAATCAGGCTGTGTTGCAACTTGCCATGCTACTTTTCAGAGGGTTTCTGTCAGATTGATAAAAGGAATGCACTCAGCTAAATGTGGCTATTCTTAGTAAAATCCTACTTTCAACTCCTCATTGCATTTCCAAGAGCGCAAAACATTGGTCCATTCTCCCCGTTTCCCCTCATCTGCAGAAGCAGTCTGAATTCAAGTTCGCCCTTGTGTCATCATCATTAGCGGACCAACTAATATACCGTGACTCTAAACGACTGGAAATCAATACGACGCTGTTGACCTCCTAATCAGCATTGATCAATCTGAGAGTAATGTCATTGGCCTACCCCAGAGACACAAAGACCCCACTAATGAATGTAAACATGATACTAACCATCAACTGAGGTCAGAGTCACACACACACTAAACTAAAAACACAAGCTCTCCCACAAATTCAAATTCTCTCACAACATTATGAGGAGGACAGGGGAGAGCATCCATCTCTCTTCAGTCTTTTCCCCTGGCTGAGAGTGTAGGACATAATGATGGATGGTACATTGAACTTGGCTCTGTGGAGCTACCATCAATCATTCCCCTGTGTCCCATCCAGTCTCTGCTCTCTCACTACTACCACACACACTCTACCAGAACCAGACAGGAGCTGGGAGTCACACCCACGCAGCCTGGAGAGAGACACAGGTCTGTGGGCTCCAACGTGAGCCACTGACGCCATACGGGGTTTGTTGTCGTTCGTAATGCAATGTTTCAGTTTCAGTATAGTGATATCACAACAGTTTTAGCAAAAGCATCCGCAGCACAGGCCTGCTGAGTGGAAGTGAGGCTCTTTTCCTGCACAGGCCCTACGTACATGCCTGTAGTGTACAGTGTGTACAAACTAGCAGGGCACTATTTCTGTCTCCCGCACCCTACCTGGTCCATAGTCTACACCTTAGAAACAACACAGAGCACTTTGGTTTGGCTACTCTGGCTAGTTCCGTCTGGGAGCCATACGGGTGTATATGTGCATCCAGGGTTCAGTCACTGGTGAGAGAAAACAGATGCCCTCCCGGCCAGGCAGGCAGCTAGACACGACCCCGGCTCACAGTGGGGCAGTATGGCGGTGTGCTGACAAGCGGGCACCAGGATTCCGGAGCAGGCATGGCAGCTTCTCCGCTTTCCACTACGTTTGCATACCATCCACAGCCAGAGGCTTGCCACTTCCTTCTGGCGAGCCTCATGGGAAAGAGTGGTAGAGAACCCCTGGTTTTGGAGCAGAGCAGTGTGCACGCGTGTGTTATTGGTCAATGGGGACGCTCCAATGTTTGTTCCTCTTTTGGCACATGACACAGACCCAGTCTACCCTGGCTCAGGCATCCCATCATTTTGGGCGTTGAGTTCTTGGCAGTCTACAGAGTGTAGTTACACAACAGCTTTGTCATTTCCACACAAGCCAAACTGCTATTGTATTCATTTTAGTTTTTATTTTCTACTCAATACTGCCCTTCTTCCACTAGGGGTATACCACATGTGCTTATTTTCAGGTGAAATGGGGGATTTAAATACCCAACCTCGAGCTGTCAATCAAAAGCTCAACAATAACAATGATCATATTTTCTCATCTTAGGTTTTTGGCCACTAAATAGTTAGGGATAAAAACAAACGAGGCCAAATGAGGACACTCACTCAAATAGTAGGATTTATGTAGTTTACTCCTAAAAATGTTGATCCATGCAAGAGGTCACTTGGCTAGTGAAGTGATGCCACCAAGAATGTGCAAGAGATTGAAATGGAACATCAATCGAATTCACAAAAGCACGTGGCCTAAATTCTCCAATAGGAAAGTCCATTAGGGTCAGGTCAGGCTGTCACATGCACGAACCTAGTCTGATTAATCAGGCTGTAATACACAATTATTGTATATTTGAGACTGATTAATCAGACTAGCATTAACCCAACTCAATAGTAAAGGATGACAAACTGGATTAAAATCAGAACCCATGCCTTTAATCGATAACCAGGCAAGTTTGTTCTCAAATCAATTGGATAGGCTAAGGCTTCTTTCAACAGAACCACATTTGTAAAGGGCTGGCTTTGATCACTGAGATTCACAATTAGTCACACACAAGCTTAGCTAGCTGGCTAACGGTAGCAAACTAGTAACGTTAAGCTAATTTCTTTTGACAAGCTGCTGTCGGCAAGGACATTCAAACCTCCAAGACACACGATTAATAGCCCAATAAGTACAGTCAAATACTAACTCCCAATATGTATAATGGAAATAAAAACACACTAGCTCAGTTATTTACTATTTTGTAAAGTTTAACTAGCTCTAGGTGTCAACAGAGTGAGAGACCCGTGAAGACCCACAAATAGCAATCACAACCACAAGACAATCATCGCTTATTCCCAAGCACCTGCTGTTAGTTTAGCTGGTTAAATCGATTGCATGTTTCAAGGAAGGTGTAATCTCCATACCTGCCATGAAACCAGTCGTTACAGAGGTCGCATTCAATCATAAACCGGCTCACATCATAGGACTGCCGGCAGACACAGTACAGCGGGGCCGCCGCCATCTTCCTACTGTCCCCAAACAACGCAGAAATAAAGTGGGGCGGGGATTTCGTTCCGTACGCGGAAAGAGTCGAGGGGAAACCCGATCTTATGCGAAATAAAGCATGGGGAAAGCCACGGGGGCAAGCCTATCTCTGACGTCAATTTCCAAATTATTTATTTCCATCTGGTTACTCATTGTAATAGCAAATACCTATACTTATAACATTGTGAATGATGTAAAGAGTTGTTTTTTGTTTAACTTGGTTTTACTCGACAGTGATCATTGACCTATAAACAACAGTGATATGATGCAAACTGACACAACGTGGTCAAAGTGCCCAAGGCTGCATTCTCAGCAGGAAAAGCACTGCCATTGGTTTGGCTGTTTTCATTGATTCCATTGTGAACTTGTATTTGTAATTGTTTCTTGAGATGTGTTTGAACTGCTGCTCATTTTTAGGTCAAGGACAAAGGACTCATATGGCCTGGTTCAGAATACAGGAAGAGTGATCAACACAACAAAATGCTCTCCCTGCCTGGTATTTCTCATAGCGCGTGTCTGACGTGCTCTACGTGCTTGTGTGTAGGGAATAGCAATAGGACTGCCGACCCGTTTGATCTGTGTGCGCTGACAGCGCCCATCCCCCCATAAGCCCATCTGTGCAGTTCTGCATAGTCAAGTAGGCTTAATGCATGCAGGGCATGCGGGACTGTGACTGCACATATGGAAACATGCAGTTATTTGCTGACTTTGGCATGTGCCTGATACTGTATTTATACAAGAGAACAATTCATGAACCCCTCCTAAGGAGAGACAATTATGCTATTTATCAACTGATATTTCATAAACATGCCAATAATTGTAGGATTTTAACATGTGTAACTGTACCTGAGGTTGGATGTTTAAATAGCCTAGCAACAACTTGATTTGAGGGTGTTTCAGGGTGTTTAGGTCAAAGCCCATCGGTCATGATCGTGTGTATATGGCCTGGGGCATTCCCTGAGGTTTCATGACAGCTCCCTGTGGGGAGCCACGCTGCTTTAATGAGCTGTTGTCACCATAGTCGGCGTGTCTGAATAAGCATCAGCCAGGCAGGAGACTTCACCTGCATTGGTCTATTTGAGCAGAATCGCATTAGTGGAAACCAAGACTGTTCTCAGGGCAGGGCTGGTTGTAGTTAGATATTTTCTATTCGCGTCGGGGACAATTTAAGCATTTTAGCTAACCCTAGCCCTAATTCTCCTAACCTACTAACGTGATCTGTGCACGAGCCCAAAAATGCCTCTAAATTCATTATAAAGTCTAAATAGCTGGGGTTACTTCAGTTGAAGAATCAGTGTGTGTGCCAACATGCAGTCAGGGCAGGCCAATTATAAGGGATGAAAATATGTTAAAATGGAAAACAGAATTGCAATATATAGTTAATGTGTATGATTTAAGTAAAAGGTATGTTGTAACAACATTATTATTACACTAATTTATTGTGCAATAGCAAAATACTAGGCATGATATACCTAGGTCTAAAATAGTGAAGCTAACCCAAATAGTTATCATCCTGTAAACATAAAATCGTTTAGAACTTGATAAACTGATGAAAAATGTGGAATAATGTCCTACATTTTAGGGAACAAGCTTTGAAAGAAGACAAAGAATGCGGCGTGATAATATTTTAACGGGCTCGAGCGCCATCTGGTGTACAATGCGTAAAATGGCAACACATTTAGAGCCATTCTCGAGCTCGTCGACAGGTGGCGGTAATGGAAAAAGACCAGTGACAGTTCATATCGGCTAGCGGGGTGGTCGTGTTGCTAAAGACAGGACTGGAGTTGGCACCCGGTGAAGAACGCTAGAAATTAACAAACGTATTTTTTCACTAGTTACAATGTAATGAATTGATACCTGCTTTGCAATCAATTTACTGGAATATAGACGCATGAAACCGAGGTAAGAAGAGACAATGATGAATGAATGGTTCTCACAGACAGCCATCATGAGTATCTTTGCTAACTTGTAGATAACGTTGGTGATGCTGGCTAGCTGGTGTTGTTATGTGGCTAGTTAGCTGTAAGAGGAAATGGTATTCAATGTTTACTATCACTAGCCATAGAAGAAAACACTATATAGCCCATTGACGTTGGTGGGCGATTTCATTTGTTTCGCATAGATAACGTTATTGCCCAGTGCCCACGGCCACGAATGTATCCTGGGATTTCGGTTCATTGTAAAAAAAATAATCACGGTTTTCGATTATTTGCTTTGAATGCGGTAACAACACAGAATAAAACAATTAATAAATGTCCCATGATGGTGGAAGTGACTGCCCATTACTGCTATCACATATTAACCATAATATTCACATTACTTTATTTCAGTAGTTTATATTACGTTTGTTTTATTTGATGACTTTATTATTTAATTCCAAGTCATAATCTAATCTCTGTAGAGCTGCTGCCTATGCTGTCTGACACAATCACTATTTTGTAGTTTTTCAAAGTAAATAAGGCATACTTTTATGACTGCTGAAAACCAACTATCTATCACTTTGATCATTTATTTTCAGCTAGAGATACCTGGCCAAGCAACAGCTGATCTTAATAGAGCCCCACAGTGGAGGTGTCATAATACCCATAAAACCTAGCCTTCATACAGCGAAATGCTTCCAATCGTTTGTCCACCATTCATTTTTCCCATAAGGGATGTTAGAAACACTTAAAATAAGGTCTGTGTTTCGTGGAAGCTTACACTGACATGACGTTTTGAATACCATGTAAATCTCTCTCAGACAAGGTGACTTTATCAATATATTCGTCTCTATTTACTCTCATATTCGAAAATGCTAATTAGCATCAACATAAACATCATGCAAGACTACAAATCCCTGCAAGGTCCTGCATGTCATCGCTAACTGACACCTTTGCTAACAGGTATTGTGTCAATTTAAAACTTGCACAAGACAGTAAACAGAATTCTCAATTTAAATACATTTTGCCAATTTATTCATTACTACATTTAGCTAAAACATTTTAATCCAGAGATTCTTCCAGATCATAATTTGTATTTGTAGTTCTTTATGATAAGCAACATAAGCAGCTGATTAGGGAAAAATGAATGCTGGAAAAACGGTTGGAACCATTTCCCTGTTTGACTGCTAGGTATTGTGACTCATACTGTGGTACTCTATATCCCCTCATGATCATGCACTCTTGTCTCTTCCTTAGCAGGCGTAAAAAAAGAAAGACCTGACAAGTATTTGCAAAATGAGTTATGGTCATTGTAGTTAATTACCACGTGAGCTAAACTATGTAGAATAATGGCCTGTTGGAAAATACAACTCCCTACTACATTGCAGAGTTCAGGCCGGATCTGATTTCTGTGTAGAGAAACTGTGCAATGTGCAAATTGAGCATACAGGGGAAAAAAGAATGAAATGGAATTCAAATAATTGAACCGACGTTGGTTAATTAGTTGTTTTAAAAACTGAAAAATAACAGACATTTCAGTTAATCACTCAGCACTACATGCCATAGTAACTCATTTGAAAAAACTACACTGCTCAAAAAAATAAAGGGAACACTAAAATAAAACATCCTAGATCTGAATGAATTAAATCATCTTATTAAATACTTTTTTCTTTACATAGTTGAATGTGCTGACAACAAAATCACACAAAAATTATCAATGGAAATCAAATGTATCAACCCATGGAGGTCTGGATTTGGAGTCACACTCAAAATTAAAGTGGAAAACCACACTACAGGCTGATCCAACTTTGATGTAATATCCTTAAAACAAGTCAAAATGAGGCTCAGTAGTGTGTGTGGCCTCCACGTGCCTGTATGACCTCCCTGGGCATGCTCCTGATGAGGTGGCGGATGGTCTCCTGAGGGATCTCCTCCCAGACCTGGACTAAAGCATCCGCCAACTCCTGGACAGTCTGTGGTGCAACGTGGCGTTGGTGGATGGAGCGAGACATGATGTCCCAGATGTGCTCAATTGGATTCAGGTCTGGGGAACGGGCGGTAGCATCAATGCCTTCCTCTTGCAGGAACTGCTGACACACTCCAGCCACATGAGGTCTAGCATTGTCTTGCATTAGGAGGAACCCAGGGCCAACCGCACCAGCATATGGTCTCACAAGGGGTCTGATGATCTCATCTCGGTACCTAATGGCAGTCAGGCTACCTCTGGCGAGCACATGGAGGGCTGTGCGGCCCCCCCCCAAAGAAATGCCACCCCACACCATGACTGATCCACCGCCAAACCGGTCATGCTGGAGGATGTTGCAGGCAGCAGAACGTTCTCCACGGCGTCTCCAGACCCTGTCACGTCTGTCACATGTGCTCAGTGTGAACCTGCTTTCATCTGTGAAGAGCACAGGGCGCCAGTGGCGAATTTGCCAATCTTGGTGTTCTCTGGCAAATGCCAAACGTCCTGCACGGTGTTGGGCTGTAAGCACAACCCCCACCTGTGGACGTCGGGCCCTCATACCACCCTCATGGAGTCTGTTTCTGACTGTTTGAGCAGACACATGCACATTTGTGGCCTGCTGGAGGTCATTTTGCAGGGCTCTGGCAGTGCTCCTCCTGCTCCTCCTTGCACAAAGGCGGAGGTAGCGGTCCTGCTGCTGGGTTGTTGCCCTCCTACGGCCTCCTCCACGTCTCCTGATGTACTGGCCTGTCTCCTGGTAGCGCCTCCATGCTCTGGACACTACGCTGACAGACACAGCAAACCTTCTTGCCACAGCTCGCATTGATGTGCCATCCTGGATGAGCTGCACTACCTGAGCCACTTGTGTGGGTTGTAGACTCCGTCTCATACTACCACTAGAGTGAAAGCACCGCCAGCATTCAAAAGTGACCAAAACATCAGCCAGGAAGCATAGGAACTGAGAAGTGGTCTGTGGTCACCACCTGCAGAACCACTCCTTTATTGGGGGTGTCTTGCTAATTGCCTATAAATTCCACCTGTTGTCTATTCCATTTGCACAACAGCATGTGACATTTATTGTCAATCAGTGTTGCTTCCTAAGTGGACCGTTTGATTTCACAGAAGTGTGATTGACTTGGAGTTACATTGTGTTGTTTAAGTGTTCCCTTTATTTTTTTGAGCAGTGTAGCTAGTTAGTTGATTGGAAACATGTGGTGTCAGTGACATTGCCAAGACAGGTATGACAGATGTGGGCAGCGATTATGGTAGTAACCTGCACATTTTTTTAATTCCCATATTACACAGATTAGAAAAAAAACAAGGACTATTTTGTATGATTTCTCTTTCCCAGGTTAGGTGTATGAAGGGAGGACGTGGAGAGTGGTCCTGAAGATGAGGCGTCTGTACAGGAAGAAAGCCCTGAGTCTGGTGAAGGAGCTGGATGCCTTCCCCAAGGTCCCAGAGAGCTATGTTGAGACCACAGCCACAGGGGGGACAGGTAGGATTTCACTCTCAATGCTGATTCAATAGCCATTACTTTGAATGACATCACTAATGTTCTTCTCTCACCCATTCGTAGTGTCCTTGATAGCATTCACTGCCATGGCACTGCTGGCCTTCTTTGTGTATCGGGATACCTGGATGAAGTATGAATACGAAGTGGATAAAGATTTTTCAAGGTACAAACAAATGTTGATTTTGTTTCATCAGCTCTAATTTGAGACTGAACTGTATTTTACTGCAGGTACATTATCTTGGAATCTGACAAGGCTTTTTCTTCATTTACAGTAAATTGAGAATAAACATAGATATTACAGTTGCCATGAAATGCCAACGTAAGTATTCAACCTTATCAAACATTATTTATTACAATTATTCATGAAATCTTGACCTTTGAGACAAAGACTGAGTTGATGGTGGGCTGTTTCAGATGTGGGTGCAGACATTCTGGACCTGGCAGAGACCATGATAACATCAAATGGCATTCAGTATGAGCCTGTGAGTAGATCACTGAGCATTCTATTACATACAAATAGACTGGTGATCCCAAACCCTGATCTATTTTCTTCCCTGTGTATAAATGTTCAGGTGATTTTTGAGCTGACCCCGCAGCAAAGACTGTGGCACAGGTAAGCAGTTTACTGAGTTATTTAAACGGTGACATGCACACATACTATCACCCCATAGTGGGCTGGAGAAATGTAACCACTCTCAAATTCATAGACAGAGCTATGGATGTAAGGACTGACCATCCATGATATCAAAATGATAGTTGTATTTTTTTTTTGAGGCTATACAGTGTTTGTTTACAAGTAAGTTGTGTACAAACAAAGGAGTAAAACAAGCTTATATTTTGAGTTCTGATTGGGTTAGACAGTTAAACTAAGCTCATGAGGCATTTATAATGTTTTATTCTTCAAAAATCAATGGCTATATATAATGAATTTAAAAGTCAGAAAATGGATGTAGCAATTGCAGATTGCCCCTTTAAGCACTTTGTTAATAGTCAGAAAATCTCACTCAACCACATTCCAAAATAAAAATATATACATTTTGTCGTCCTTCCTGTATGAAATTAGTAGTTAACCAGGTTCTCTCTCTCCCAACTCTCCTTAGGACTCTGTTGCTGATTCAGAACAGGCTGAGGGAGGAGCATTCTCTACAGGAGGTCTTGTACAAGAGTGTTCTAAAGGGAGCCCCTACGGCCTTGCCCCCTAGGTTAGTAGGCTGCCTTGCCCCCTAGGTTAGTAGGCCTGCCTTGCCCCCTAGGTTAGTAGGCCTGCCTTGCCCCCTAGGTTAGTAGGGCTGCCTTGCCCCCTAGGTTAGTAGGGCTGCCTTGCCCCCTAGGTTAGTAGGGCTGCCTTGCCCCCTAGGTTAGTAGGGCTGCCTTGCCCCCTAGGTTAGTAGGGCTGCCTTGCCCCCTAGGTTAGTAGGGCTGCCTTGCCCCCTAGGTTAGTAGGGCTGCCTTGCCCCCTAGGTTAGTAGGGCTGCCTTGCCCCCTAGGTTAGTAGGCTTGCCTTGCCCCCTAGGTTAGTAGGCTTGCCTTGCCCCCTAGGTTAGTAGGGCTGCCTTGCCCCTAGGTTAGTAGGGCTGCCTTGCCCCCTAGGTTAGTAGGGCTGCCTTGCCCCCTAGGTTAGTAGGCTGCCTTGCCCCCTAGGTTAGTAGGCTGCCTTGCCCCCTAGGTTAGTAGGCTTGCCTTGCCCCCTAGGTTAGTAGGGCTGCCTTGCCCCCTAGGTTAGTAGGGCTGCCTTGCCCCCTAGGTTAGTAGGGCTGCCTTGCCCCCTAGGTTAGTAGGGCTGCCTTGCCCCCTAGGTTAGTAGGGCTCTGAAGTGTTGTGAAAATGCATTGAGTACAGATATGTTTTCCTACATAGCTAATAGTATGTGTGTGTGTCTTCAGAGAGGGCACCGCCTCAGAGCCCCTAAGTGCCTGTAGGATACATGGGCACGTCTACGTCAACAAAGTGGCTGGGAACTTCCACATCACAGTGGGAAAGTAAGATACCTGTACACTTTTCTATAAGCGTGATATATTTAAGCAATAAGGCCCGAGGGGGTGTGGTATATGGCCAATATACCATGGCTAAGGGCTGTTCTTAACCACGACGCAACACGGAGTGCCTGGGTACAGCCCTTAGCCGTGGTATATTGGCCATATACAACAAACCCCTGAAGTGCCTTATTGCGATTATAAACTGGTTACCAACGTAATTAGACCAGTAAATAGTCATGTTTTGTCATACCCGTGGTATACTGTCTGATATACCACGTCTTTCAAACAATCAGCATTCAGGGCCCGAACAACCGGTTTATATTTAATAGTGCATTTTGTATGTAAATCATTCTTTATGGATGTAATGGGGGAAAGCTATGTAATAATGCCAAAGACTCAGAGGTTCATGGAGTTTGTCTCATACGTTAGAAGCTTCCAGGCTCCACAAATGAATGCTGCAAATGATTTATGAGTCTATATGTATGATTGGAAAAAGGGCACACAACCTATACAGCACAGTATATTTCTTTTTGATGAAAATGCTCCTCATGCTTCTAACCCTCTGTCTTTCTCAGGCCTATTCATCACCCTCGTGGCCATGCTCATATAGCAGCTTTTGTAAGCCATGACAGTAAGTTCTCTTTTAGCCTGACCAGGAAAGGGTGACATTCATTTGCATAATGTATTAGTTTTAGACAAGGACAACATTAGTACTGTTCTCTGGTTGCTTACATTGCATTTGCATTTCCATGTTTCAAGTGATAGATAAGAGGAGTATCTATTCTATTGCAGTGCCAAATAACTATTTTCTCAGAATGATACACTCCCAAATAGAGGTTTTCACTGTCCCATTCCACCTGACTGAATGTGAGCTGGGTTTCATCATTGCGTTGCAGCGTACAACTTCTCCCATCGGATAGACCATCTGTCTTTTGGAGAAGAGATCCCTGGCATCATCAATCCTCTGGACGGAACAGAGAAAATCACCACAAACCGTAAGTTACTGCTCCTCCTCACTGAGACCAGGAAGTAAACACATTAATATGTTCTTATCAAACCTCATTCAGCTGTTACTCAATCTGCAGCTATGACTACAGAATGGTAGAGCAGTAAGCCACTGTACATTGAGGTGCTTTGTAGCAACAGTATTGTGTTGTGAATAAGCCACACTGTCAAAACCCTTACTGTTTGTAGGCTGATTATGTACATGAGCTCTGATCCACATTTTGGTATTTGGTATTTTATTAGGATCCCCATTAGCTGTTGCAAAAGCAGCAGCTACTCTTCCTGGGGTCCACACATAACATGAAACATGACATAATACAGAACATTAATAGACAAGAACAGCTCAAGGACAGAACTACATACATTTAAATCAAACCTCACTTCCAGCCTATTCTGCTCAGCATGGCGTCATGAGTTTGCACAGAGAAAATGTAGCTATTTGTATCCATTTGAAGTGGATTTACTGCAGGCTTGCTTTCATTCACTTGCTGTTCAAAGCAGTCTAGTTTCTCCTGGGGAAAGAACTGAAGCCCCCTATTTCACCTTTTCTAGAAGAAGTATTCTGTGTAGTCCGTCACAAGATGGATGTGTTAAAAGGCTTTGTTCTTTGTCTTATTGTTTCAGATAATCAGATGTTCCAGTATTTCATTACGGTGGTACCTACCAAACTGCACACGTCCTCTGTGACGGAGAGGGTAAGTCCTGCGCTGTCTGATTTAGGCACAGATCTAGGATCAGCTTACCTTCCCCAAATCCTCATATTAACCATCAGGGGGAAAGGAATCCTATTCCGTGTTGACCATGATGGAGGATGCTTCAGTTGGTTCAGATGATGGATCAGTCTCCTCATCCATCCATCCAGTCCATTCAGCTCCCTCTGCTGGCTGCCAAAAGTTAGTTCTAGATCTGCTGCATAACACCACCACACAACCTGAGACAGTCATAGATTTCTCTCTTACAAACACACATATTCACATACACAAAGGCTAGATGCTAGAAAGGCCGGTGTGTGTGTTTGTAAAGGAGAGATTGACCACCCCACTCTACCTACCCTCTGTCTGGTCTAGGAACGGGTGATCAACCATGCGGCGGGCAGCCACGGTGTGTCTGGGATCTTTATGAAGTACGACACCAGCTCTCTGATGGTGACGGTCAGTGAGCAGCACATGCCCCTCTGGCAGTTCCTGGTACGACTCTGTGGCATCATCGGGGGTATCTTCTCCACCACAGGTCCAGACAACACTCACTCTTACCACCTAGTGTCATGGGCAGACCTCATACTGTTCATGTCTCACAAATCATTTGCAGCCTGATACTGTGCCACGTTAGAGAAATGCATTTATCTTCTCTCTCTCCCACAGGCATGATCCATGGGTTTGTTGGCTTCTGTTTGGACATAGTCTGCTGTCGCTTCAAACTAGGCCCATATAAACCTAGAGTGGTGAGCCCAGTCTTCTTTATTGCTACTGAAACTATGTAGCAAAATGATGGTAAATCCTTAAATGTACTAGTTCCTCTCTACATTTTCTCTATATCCAGGTGGTTCTCCCAGATGCTCATGTGAACAACCATGCTGCTCCGCTCCTGACGGACAACCACATACAGGAGTAGCCCTCTGACCCGGGCCCATATCCATCTACTCTCAGAGTAAGAGTGCTGAGCTTGGATCAGTTTTGCCCTTTTGGATCATAATAAATACGATTATATGGACAGATCCTAGATCAGCACTCCAACTCTGAGACGCTTTGTGGATATGGGACCCGGAGCCTGCTGCTGATCGTGCCCCTACTGTCCTTTCACCTGTGGGGGAATCCAGGAAGCCAAGTCTGTGGATTGCTGGGAGTTTGTTTTGAACCAAATAAGAGTAAACTGCTTAGGATCCGACAATCAGAATTGTTCTATTTATTGTTTTGGGGGTGTTGTAAAATTGTTGTGGACAGTATCCTCATATGACTACCATTATAATATATTTATATCCTGTAAATATGTATTTTACACTGAAAAATGGAAAGCAGTTAACTCCCCAGTTTGATCAGGCTTTTAGTGTGTAAGGGTGTTGGGGGTGTAAATTCAGCTGACTAGGCTGAATGAAATCTGATCCTTCTATGATGTAATTCATATGTCTATCACACATGGTTGCTGGACACTAGACAGTGTTTGCTCCTCCATGATATTACTATACTAGTGAACCATTGGTATGGATCATGCAGACATTGGAAAATGATTAACTTGCATATCATGTTTGCTCTATTACTATTTATTTGAACTGTTGTTCAGTATCTGTTTCACATGTAATCTGTCAATGGGAGATGTCCTATTAAACGTGTTTTAGTGCACTTCACCCCTTCATGTTGTAGACTTTACATTCATTTAAATATCTCTCGGTTCCTATCCCCACTATCCTCTGTTGATGGTGCATGCTCTTAAGCTGCGCTTACACAGGCAGTCCAATTTGGCTTTTTACACTAATTGTCTTTGACCATCACACAGATCTTTTCATCTGACTTTTAGAGCTGACTATTGTAAAAGACCATTAGTGAAAGATCAGATTGGCTTCCTGTGTAAATGCGCCATGTAAAAAAGCCGGGTTTTTTTCAAAATTTTTGAGGCATTTTTTTTCCCCTTGAAAGGAAAACCTTTTTTTTTTTTGGGGGGGGGTCAAACCCCCTTTTTTAAAGGCCACTTTTTCAAATTATGCCCTGCTTTTTTGGGGGGGGTTTTGGGGGTTTTTTTTTTTTTCTTTGGGTCCCCCCCCGAAGGGGCCATTTAATTGGGGTCCTTAAAAGGGGATTTTTGGTTTTTTGTTTTGGGGGTTGTGGTAAGTCGATTTTTGGTTCCTTTTTTTTTTTTTTTGTTGTTTTAAATTTTTTAACCTTTTGTTTTTTTTTTTTTTTTTTTTTTACTGCCCTTTTTTTTTCGCTTTTTTTTTAAAAATTTTTCTTTTTTTTTTTTTTCCCGGTGGTTTTTTTCCCGGGTTTTGGGGTTTTTTCTTTTGGGAAAAAAAATTTTTATTTCCCCCCTTTTTTTGTTTTTGAGGGGTGTTTTTTTTTTTTTGGGGGTTTTTTTTCCCCCCGCCACACCATTACTGGCTCACATAGAAACATGTTTTTCAGAGGGTGGAATTGGGGCACATTTTGTCCTTTTTCTGTTGAGAGTCAAGACTTCTACCATAGATACTGTATCCATAGATACTGTATATAGATGTATCATCTCATAAAATGTGGACTGCTGCTGTCTGCCACCAGGAACAATTTAGATATACTCTGGGAAGCTCTGTGGTAGAGTCAGACTGCTGCAGAATCAACCTTCAGGAATATCACTGTCTTTGGTAGTCTATAGAATATAGACTTCAATTATTTACACCTCTTCCAAACATGTTTATATATTATACTGCCACCGTCATCTACCACTTACATAAGACAAGCCTTAGTTTGACGCAATTATTTATAAAGATGAAAAAAGTCAACTTAGTTTCAATATAAACTGCTGTACAAAACAGGCAAAAAGTGGACTAACCGTGAAACAAACAAGGAGTCTTATGCGTTATGTTAAACATACGGTGAGGGGAAAAAAGTATTTGATCCCCTGCTGATTTTGTATGTTTGCCCACTGACAAAGACATGATCAGTCTATAATTTTAATGGTAGGTTTATTTGAACAGCGAGAGACAGAATAACAACAAAAAAATCCAGAAAACGCATGTCAAAAATGTTATATATTGATTTGCATTTTAATGAGGGAAATAAGTATTTGATCCCTCTGAAAAACATGACTTAGAACTTGGTGGCAAAACCCTTGTTGGTAATCACAGAGGTCAGACGTTTCTTGTAGTTGGCCACCAGCTTTGCACACATCTCAGGAGGGATTTTGTCCCACTCCTCTTTGCAGACCTTCTCCAAGTCATTAAGGTTTCGAGGCTGACGTTTGGCAACTCAAACCTTCAGCTCCCTCCACAGATTTTCTATGGGGTTAAGGTCTGGAGACTGGCTAGGCCATTCCAGGACCTTAATGTGCTTCTTCTTGAGCCACTCCTTTGTTGCCTTGGCCGTGTGTTTTGGGTCATTGTCATGCTGGAATACCCATCCACGACCCATTTTCAATGCCCTGGCTGAAGGGGAAGGAGGTTCTCACCCAAGATTTGACGGTACATGGCCCCGTCCATCGTCCCTTTGATGCGGTGAAGTTGTCCTGTCCCCTTAGCAGAAAAACACCCCCAAAGCATAATGTTTCCACCTCCATGTTTGACAGTGGGGATGGTGTTCTTGGGGTCATAGGCAGCATTCCTCCTCCTCCAAACACGGCGAGTTGAGTTGATGCCAAAGAGCTCGATTTAGGTCTCATCTGACCACAACACTTTCACCCAGTTATCCTCTGAATCATTCAGATGTTCATTGGCAAACTTCAGATGGCCCTGTATATGTGCTTTCTTGAGCAGGGGGACCTTGCGGGCGCTGCAGGATTTCAGTCCTTCACGGCGTAGTGTGTTACCAATTGTTTTCTTGGTGACTATGGTCCCAGCTGCCTTGAGATCATTGACAAGATCCTCCCGTGTAGTTCTGGGCTGATTCCTCACCGTTCTCATGATCATTGCAACTCCAAGAGGTGAGATCTTGCATGGAGCACCAGGCTGAGGGAGAGTGACAGTTATTTTGTGTTTCTTCCATTTGCAAATAATCGCACCAACTGTTGTCACCTTCTCACCAAGCTGCTTGGCGATGGTCTTGTAGCCCATTCCAGCCTTGTGTAGGTCTACAATCTTGTCCCTGACATCCTTGGAGAGCTCTTTGGTCTTGGTCATGGTGGAGAGTTTGGAATCTGATTGATTGATTGCTTCTGTGGACAGGTGTCTTTTATACAGGTAACGAGCTGAGATTAGGAGCATTTAAGAGTGTGCTCCTAATCTCAGCTCGTTACCTGTATAAAAGACACCTGGGAGCCAGACATCTTTCTGATTGAGAGGGGGTCAAATACTTATTTCCCTCATTAAAATGCAAATCAATTTCTAACATTTTTGACATGTGTTTATCTGGATTTTTTTGTTGTTATTCTGTCTCTCACTGTTCAAATAAACCTACCATTAAAATTATAGACTGATCATTTCTTTGTCAGTGGGCAAACGTACAAAATCAGCAGGGGATCAAATACTTTTTTCCCTCACTGTACTGATATATCAATATTCAGTAGTGATAGTAGCTTGTATCAATATACCATGAAAAGTAAGAACTGGTCATGTCAACCAGTACTGTAGTACTACAGTAGCAGTCTCCAGTGGTCAAGATTTAGGGCTCTATTCAATCCACATCACAGAAGTTCAGCTTTACAGCATGGTTGAAATTTAAAGGGAATGTGCCTGCTTTTGCAGAGACTGCATTCACGGTAAACGCTGCATGTGTTGGCTCAATTGGAAATTACCTTTCAATTTATATCACGGAATCTGTAACGCTTCAAATTTACAGATTGAATAGAGCCCTTAGTGTGATCAACACTGAAGTTACTCTTGGTTATCCTTAGCTGGCCTCGCTACAGAGTACAGGCTCCCAAATATTTTGTCAGTACAAAACAATACAAGGTAAAAACCTGTAAAAAGAGAGGCCATGAATATCTCAGGATTCACACATTAAGAGTCATGTACAGAAATTAGCCTTCAGTGGAAGCCTGACACAGTATTTCAAGTATGCAAAAAAAATCCTCTATTCCAAGACAATGTATCTGGGTTGGGGAGGACGTAAACTATGAGCAAAAACGTGGGGAGAGTATACAATGCGTTTATTGTTGCATATGTAATCTGTCGCTTTAAGAAAAGCAGTAGTTAGAAAATAAATAACACTTACATAGTCGTTTCACTGTATGACGTACAACAGGATCAGAAGGAACAATGTCTGGTTGAGGAGTGGGGTTGTGTACTGCTGGAGGTCTGAGGGGTGTCGTCTGGTTGAGGAGTGGGGTTGTGTGCTGCTGGAGGTCTGAGGGATGTTGTCTGGTTGAGGAGTGGGGTTGTGTGCTGCTGGAGGTCTGAGGGGTGTCGTCTGGTTGAGGAGTGGGGTGGTGTACTGCTGGAGGTCTGAGGGGTGTCGTCTGGTTGAGGAGTGGGGTTGTGTACTGCTGGAGGTCTGAGGGGTGTTGTCTGGTTGAGGAGGCGGTCAGCTGGTCAACGGTCAGTTGGTTATCAGTTGGTGAGTGTGCTGGAGGCCCTGAAGTAGGAGAGGAACTTGAAGCAGAGGCTGACCACAAAGTACCAGATGTTCCTGGCCATCTGGGAGCGGGCGATGAACACCCTCCAGATGAACACCAGCAGTAGAGTGTTGAATGTGTAGCGGATGTTCCTCAGCCTGGGAGATTAAGAGAGGGAGGGAGTTGTCATTTACATACTGTCATTTACATCCTTCTTCAAAATAACTCGGGCTAACTGTGCGCAGGTGAAAACACAATCAGCCCTGTAAGTAGTCGACTCACTTCCTGAGGTGTTGCCTGGCTGCAGGGATGTCTGACATGTCTTCATTCAGAACGTACTTCTTGGTGCCGATGCAGTAGTTCTCTATGTACTCTGGCCAGTTCAGCTGACGCACGTCAAAGTTGAATGTCTGGGAGAGAGAGTTAGGATGCTGATGTGCAGTAAGACAACATGGCTATTATGGTCACATTCAGGCAATTATGAAAACTTCTTTGGGATATCTATAATTTAACCTTCTGAAATTGAATGATGTAAGTATTCGTGACCTGTAGTGTTGAAATCAATAGAGATGTTTGTTTGAGCTAAAATTATGGATTGGTGGCATTACTAGATGAAAAACATACCATTGACAATATACACCAACATGCAGAGGCATATGTATGTGTATAGATAATGGTAAGTCTACTGCACCTTCCTGTCCTCAGGGCTGAGGTGGCTCATCAGCATGTTCATGTTCTCGGAGTTCCACTCCCAGTCCTGACTGCTGAAGTACTCCAGCAGGCCGATGGCCTTGTGCAGCCGGTTGAAGATACGCATCATTCTACACAGAGAGAAAGGTATGGAGGATCTCAGTCCAAATGTACTGTATGTATAACACAATTGTAATGTTCGTTTCACTAAAGACTTAATTAATAATCACTTGTATGCAGCAAACAGTGATTTCTTATTTCTTTATGCTTACAGATCATTTTATGTAGGTTTACAACACACTGTGTTGATTGGGTTGAAAACAAGTATGTAGTTACATTTTGATAGACTGAACGATGATCTAGTGACAATTCTGACTGTCAGGACATGCTAGTAATCTTACTGGGGCTTCTGTCCAGACAGTCTCAGGTAGAGGTCGTAGATGAGGGCAGGGAACTTGTGGCTGACCAGGATCCAGTACTGGTTCATCAGGTAGTTGGAGGTGATGTTGGCATTGGGCCTTCTGAAAGCCTGCTCCAGAGGGTTCCTCTTGAAGCTGGACATCACATGGTGCTCTGAGAGAGAATACAGAGGAGTCGATAAAAAATGTGAAGGAATCTGTGGCTTGGAGCTGTCATCCCTGTCTTACAGCTCCATTCTGTTGTGGCATTTTAAGTGGTGTACGGTTAGGGAAGTGCCCCTCACATCTTCCTTAGCCACTATATTAGAGAATTGGGTTGTATCCAGGGGTGTGGTTTTCTGTTGAACTAACAATCTCATTCACAGCAGCTGCACACCTTCCCCACCTAGCTGCAATCAAGGATGCTCAGGCAAAGGTAAAACTGCTGGGGGAACTGCTAGTGAAAGAACCAGTGGGTGCTACTGGTGTGAATTTGTTGCTGTGTGCTTTCTTTCGAAGACTCGTGACCCACCAGCCTCTATAAAGAAGTGAACAGCCTTACGAGGTTAGTTCCTCCTGTGTAGGAGAAGACTATCTGGGGTAAGCGCGAGGGTAGCTCTCTTCTGTTGAGTTGTAGTTTTCCCATTTCATTTATTCCCTGTAATTGTTTAAGTTCTTATTAAAGTAAAACTACCCAGGCCTCTACTCTACTAATGGTGGCTGGCTATCCACGGCTACTGGAGAGTGGCGAGGAAAACTTGAGAATGAATCTCCTGTCATTGAACTCTGGACTTTTACCAGCAGCCCAGCACAGCTGATTTGTTGTAAAGATGTATTATTATTTATTTATTATACCTCTTTGGTTTACTAACTACAAAAAAAATAAAGTACCACTTTTATTGCTTAAACCCCTGTCTGACTTATGTTGCACTACCGCTCCTTCACCTTCCATTGTGCCCAAACTGGTCTCCTAGACTATACGTAACATAGCAAACGTAAATCCGGGACACCAAATTAGTATGATATATTACTTTTACATAAGATAAGTTACTTAAGGTAAAAATAACAATAACGTCTAGCAACCCAATGTCACACCCTGGCTCTGGGACTCATTATGTTGAGCCAGGGTGTGTTCATTTCTATGTGTGTATTTCTGTGTTGGTGTTCATTCTAGTTTGTTGTATTCTATGTTTGCCTGAGTGACTCCCAATCAGAGGCAACGAGTGTCAGCTGTTGGCTGGTTGTCTCTGATTGGGAGCCATATTTAACTGTATGTTTTCCCTTTGTGGTTGTGGGTTTTTGTTCCGTGTTCGGTCATTGATACCGTGGACGTCACGAGTCGTGTTTTGTATTTTGATGCTTTAACTAATTAAAGTATGTTTGTTCATCACGCTGCGCCTTGGTCTACTCCTTACCTCGATCGTGACAGAAAAACCCACCATGCAACGACCAAGCAGCGTGTCCAGGGGCAGCCCTTGGGGTGGACATGGGAGGAAGCGCCGGGAAAGGCCCTGGCGAAAGAGGAGCAGCGTGTCCAGGAGCAGGCAGCCTGGACATGGGAGGAGATATTGGACGGTAAAGGGTCCTGGACTTGGGGGGAAATCCTGGCCGGCCATGGAGTGAGACAGTGGAGAGGCGACGGAGAGAGGAGCAACGGCGTGATCAGGGTCGTCGTCGGACGGTCGTGAGGCAACCCCAGAAAATTTTTAGGGGGGGGCACACGGCATGGACGACGGGGCTGACGGAGGAGAAAAGGGGGCGGATCCAGAAGGCCACCAGGCCAGGGGTTCACCGCCCTGTACGTCCTGTGCGGATGCCTCACACAGAGTGTGTGAGGGTAGGCATTCAGCCAGGACGGGTGGTGGCCGCTCTTCACTCCAGGCCTCCTATCCGTCTCCACAGCCCGGTTCGGCCTGTCCCTGCTCCACGCACCAAGCCTACGGTGTGCGTCGCCAGCCCAGCCCGGCCTGTCTCTGCTCCACGCACCAAGCCTACGGTGGGCGTCGCCAGCCCAGTCCGGCCTGTCCCTGCTCCACGCACCAAGCCTACGGTGTGCGTCGACAGCCCAGCCCGGCCTGTTCCTGCTCCACGCACCAAGCCTACGGTGTGCGTCGCCAGCCCGACCCGGCCTGTTCCTGCCACTCGCACCAAACCTACGGTGCGCGTCGCCAGCCCGGTCCGGCCTGTTCCTGCCACCCGCACCAAGTCTACGGTGCGCGTCGCCAGCCCGACCCGGCCTGTTCCTGCCACTCGCACCAAACCTACGGTGCGCGTCGCCAGCCCGGTCCGGCCTGTTCCTGCCACCCGCACCAAGTCTACGGTGCGCGTCGCCAGCCCGACCCGGCCTGTTCCTGCCACCCGCACCAAGTCTACGGTGCGCGTCGCCAGCCCAACCCGGCCTGTTCCTGCCACTCGCACCAAACCTACGGTGCGCGTCGCCAGCCCGGTCCGGCCTGTTCCTGCCACCCGCACCAAGTCTACGGTGCGCGTCGCCAGCCCGACCCGGCCTGTTCCTGCCACTCGCACCAAACCTACGGTGCGCGTCGCCAGCCCGGTCCGGCCTGTTCCTGCCACTCGCACTAAGCCAGGGGTGCGAGAAGTCAGCCTGGTAAGGCCCGTTCCTTCTCCACGCACCAAGCCAGGGGTGCGAGTCGTCAGCCTGGTAAGGCCCGTTCCTCCTCCACGCACCAAGCCAGGGGTGCGCGTCGTCAGCCTGGTAAGGCCCGTTCCTCCTCCACGCACCAAGCCAGGGGTGCGAGTCGACAGCCTGGTAAGGATCGCTCCTGTTAAGTCCAGTCCTGCTCCAGCCGGCGGGGCCAGACTGGACCAGGGGCACTATGGGGGGTGTATTGGAGGGTGGTGGTCAAGGCCGGAGCCAGAACCGCCGCCGAGGAGGTATGCCCGCCCAGCCCTCCCCTGGTTTGTTTAGTTGAGGCGCGGTCGCAGTCCGCGCCTTTAGGGGGGGGGTACTGTCACACCCTGGCTCTGGGACTCATTATGTTGAGCCAGGGTGTGTTCATTTCTATGTGTGTATTTCTGTGTTGGTGTTCATTCTAGTTTGTTGTATTCTATGTTTGCCTGAGTGACTCCCAATCAGAGGCAACGAGTGTCAGCTGTTGGCTGGTTGTCTCTGATTGGGAGCCATATTTAACTGTATGTTTTCCCTTTGTGGTTGTGGGTTTTTGTTCCGTGTTCGGTCATTGATACCGTGGACGTCACGAGTCGTGTTTTGTTTTGTATTTTGATGCTTTAACTAATTAAAGTATGTTTGTTCATCACGCTGCGCCTTGGTCTACTCCTTACCTCGATCGTGACACCCAAAGGTTGTGTGTTTGAATCTCATCACGGACAACGTCAGCATTTTAGCTAATTAGCAACTACTTGCTATTTATTTGCTACTTTGCAACTACAATACTTAGCATGTTACCTAACCTTAACCCCTAGCCTAGCTAAGGTTAGTTAGCGTTAGCCATCTAGCTAATGTAAGCCTCAACCAATTGGAATTTGTAACATATCCCTTACAGTAACTGCAGTCGACAGTGGTATTTTGGATGCAGCATACTGCAGTTATACTGTACCCCGACTGCAATCTTTTTTCGTATGTTTAGAAAATTCTTAACATATTGTACAAATTTCAATTTGTAACATGTATGAAATGGATGAGACATCCACAAAGTAATACATATCATACTAAATGGAGTGTCTCGGATTTACATACAGAATAATACAAAATGCTCTGAGACCACGTGCCACACAGTACATACAGTGGGGAGAACAAGTATTTGATACACTGCCGATTTTGCAGGTTTTCCTACTTACAAAGCATGTAGAGGTCTGTCATTTTTATCATAGGTACACTTCAACTGTGAGAGACGGAATCTAAAACAAAAATCCAGAAAATCACATTGTATGATTGTTAAGTAATTCATTTGCATTTTATTGCATGACATAAGTATTTGATACATCAGAAAAGCAGAACTTAATATTTGGTACAGAAACCTTTGTTTGCAATTACAGAGATCTTATGTTTCCTGTAGGTCTTGACCAGGTTTGCACACACTGCAGCAGGGATTTTGGCCCATTCCTCCATACAGACCTTCTCCAGATCCTTCAGGTTTCGGGGCTGTCGCTGGGCAATACGGACCTTCTGCTCCCTCCAAAAATGTCTATTGGGTTCAGGTCTGGAGACTGGCTAGGCCACTCCAGGACCTTGAGATGCTTCTTACGGAGCCACTCCTTAGTTGCCCTGGTTGTGTGTTTCAGGTTGTTGTCATGCTGGAAGACCCAGCCACGACCCATCTTCAATGCTCTTACTGAGGGAAGGAGGTTGTTGGCCAAGATCTCGCAATACATGGCCCCATCCATCCTCCCCTCAATACGGTGCAGTCGTCCTGTCCCCTTTGCAGAAAAGCATCCCCAAAGAATGATGTTTCCACCTCCATGCTTCACGGTTGGGATGGTGTCCTTGGGGTAGTACTCATCCTTCTTCTTCCTCCAAAAACAGCGAGTGGAGTTTAGACCAAAAAGCTCTATTTTTGTCTCATCAGACCACATTACCTTCTCCCATTCCTCCTCTGGATCATCCAGATGGTCATTGGCAAACTTCAGACGGGCCTGGACATGCGCTGGCTTGAGCAGGGGGACCTTGCGTGCGCTGCAGGATTTTAATCCATGACGGCGTAGTGTGTTACTAATGGTTTTCTTTGAGACTGTGGTCCCAGCTCTCTTCAGGTCATTGACCAGGTCCTGCCGTGTAGTTCTGGGCTGATCCCTCACCTTCCTCATGATCATTGATGCCCCACGAGGTGAGATCTTGCATGGAGCCCCAGACCTAGGGTGATTGACGTCATCTTGAACTTCTTCCATTTTCTAATAATTGCGCCAACAGTTGTTGCCTTCTCACCAAGCTGCTTGCCTATTGTCCTGGAGCCCATCCCAGCCTTGTGCAGGTCTACAATTTCATCCCTGATGTCCTTACACAGCGCTCTGGTCTTGGCCATTGTGGAGAGGTTGGAGTCTGTTTGATTGAAAAACTAACAGGTCTGTGAGAGCCGGAATTCTTACTGGTTGGTAGGTGATCAAATACTTATGTCATGCAATAAAATGCAAATTAATTACTTAAAAATCATACAATGTGATTTTCTGGATTTTTTGTTTTAGATTCCGTCTCTCACAGTTGAAGTGTACCTATGATAAAAATGACAGACCTCTACATGCTTTGTAAGTAGGAAAACCTGCAAAATCGGCAGTGTATCAAATACTTGTTCTCCCCACTGTATGTACTGTTTGGCACGTGGTCTCAGAGCATTTTGTATTATTCTGTATGTAAATCCGAGACACTCCATTTAGTATGATATGTATTACTTTGTGGATGTCTCATCCATTTCATACATGTTACAAATTGAAATTTGTACAATATTTTAAGAATTTTCTAAACATCGGCAGTGTATCAAATACTTGTTCTCCCCACTGTATGAGCCTTAGAGGAATCAAAGCCACATCCCTGATGTTGCAAGCACCATGCTCCAGCACATTTCTTTGGATCATCAACTCTCCTTCGTCATTAGTTGTATATTTTTTATTAGTTATTTATAAGATAATAACTCTAAGAAGAACAATATTTTGGGAAGGGGTCAAAGATGTTTGGCCAGGATTCAATCTGATCGCGATTTGTTGGCTATGCACCTTTTTAAAGGGAATTTCCGAATGAGCCGACATGCAGTGTTTACCATCAACGTGGGAACACTGCCTTTACAAGGTGCATCACTTACAAAGGGTGATGTTATTGAATCCCGGCCACAGTGAATATTCTCCAGCCCCACTAACGAGTTGAGTTGAGTTAAGATAGTTTTGGTGTTGAGGGTGAGCATTCCTTGCTAGGGAAAGGTAACACAAATATATACACTACTGTTCAAAATATTGGGGTCACTTAGAAATGTCCTTGTTTTCGAAAGAAAAGCAATTTTTTTGTCCATTAAAATAACATCACATTTATCAGAAATACAGTGTAGACATTGTTAATGTTGTAAATGGCTATTGTAGCTGGAAACGGCAGATTTTTAATGGAATATCTACATAGGCGTACAGAGGCCCATTATCAGCAACCATCAGTCCTGTGTTCCAATGGCACGTTGTGTTTGCTAATCCAAGTTTATCATTTTAAAAGGCTAATTGATCATTAGAAAACCCTTTTGCAATTATGTTAGTACAGCTGAAAACTGTTGTGCTGATTTAAAGAAGCAATAAAACTGGCCTTCTTGAGACTAGTTGATTATCTGGAGCATCAGCAATTGTAGGTTCGATTACAGGCTCAAAATGTCCAGAAACAAATAACTTTCTTCTAAAACATGTCAGTCTATTCTTGTGCTGAGAAATGAAGGCTATTCCATGCGAGAAATTGCCAAGAAAGGCCCGGTGCACATCTGAGCAAGAGGACAAATACATTAGAGTGTCTAGTTTGAGAAACAGACGCCTCACAGGTCCTCAACTGGCAGCTTCATTAAATAGTACCCGCAAAACACCAGTCTCAACGTCAACAGTGAAGAGGCGACTCCGGGATGCTGACCTTCTAGGCATAGTTGCAAAGAAAAAGCCATATCTCAGACTGGCCAATAAAAATAAAAGATTAAGATGGGTAAAAGAACACAGACACTGGACAGAGGAAGATTGGAAAAAAGTGTTATGGACAGACAAAACGAAGTTTGAGGTGTTCGGATCACAAAGAATAACATTTGTGAGACGCAGACCAAATGAAAAGATGCTGGAGGAGTGCTTGATCTGTCAAGCATGGTGGAGGCAATGTGATGGTCTGGGGGTGCTTTGGTGGTGGTAAAGTGGTAGATCTGTACAGGGTAAAAGGGATCTTGAAGAAGGAAGGCTATCACTCCATTTTGCAACGCCATGCCATACCCTTTGGACAGCGCTTTATTGGAGCCAATTTCCTCCTACAACAGGACAATGACCCAAAGCACAGCTACAAACTATGCAATAACTATTTAGGGAAGAAGCAGTCAGCTGGTATTCTGTCTATAATGGAGTGGCCAGCACAGGCACCGGATCTCAACCCTACTGAGCTGTTGTGGGAGCAGCTTGACCGTATGGTACGTAAGAAGTGCCCATCAAGCCAATCCAACTTGTGGTAGGTGCTTCAGGAAGCATGGGGTGAAATCTCTTCAGATTACCTCAACAAATTGACAACTAGAATGCCAAAGGTCTGCAAGGCTGTAATGGCTCCAAATGGAGGATTCTTTGACGAAAGCAAAGTTTGAAGGACACAATTATTATTTAAATTAAAAATCATTATTTTTAACCTTGTCAATGACTACATTTGCTATGCATTTTGCTATATTTCCTATTCAAACTAATTTCATGTATGTTTTCATGGAAAACAAGGACATTTCTAAGTGACCCCAAACTTTTGAATGGTAGTGTATGTATCTTTGGAAAAGGGCATCAACAAGATTAGAACATGTGACCTCCTGTTCCCTATCCCAGTGCCTAGTCGGCGAGAGGAGGTGAAATAAAAAATAATAATAAAATAAAAAAATAAAATAGTCCACTGCGCTAGTAGGGGGGATGGCAGCGTGCTTGTTTTTTCACATATTTAATGCTGTTCAGTCAAAGTAAACAAACAAAGTTAATAGATTAGAAATGTAATTAGTTAAAAACGTTGGGTAAGGAAAACAAAAGTCACAACCAGGATTCAAACTTTTTGGGTCAAAATCCATGTTGAACGCCCTCCATCCATATCCAACCTACCTCCCTAAAAGTGTTTATTTTATTTGACTCTCGTCTGTAAACTCCACCCACTGACTTGTCATCCAACCAATCACATTAGTTCTGCCCTAGAAAGTGGAGCTTCCCTCAGAACAAGATTGAGGCCGGGGATCAATTCATGGTGCCTTTAAAGGGTACATTGTCGGCTGTCTAGTGCTCTATAACAAGCCTTGGATTGAATCCCAGCCTGAATGAGGAAAACTCCTGAGCAGTATTCCAAGGCTCTTTCTCAATTCCAGGCTCCTTCCTCGATTCCTTGGGAGATTCTCAATTGGACAAAAGTCTGTCCTCTCCTCGACTCCTCCGTCCTCCTCTCCTCAGTGACTCGGAAACCGATAAGTGGTCATGTGGTCACACAGTGGCAATTAGTTAGTAAGCTAATAGAGGAGTATCATCCACTCCTCGATAGCCTCCTCTCGCCGAGCATACTCATGTGCTTCCTCCCGGCTGCTACCACGGAAGTGTTTTAACATCCGCCACACCCCCTTTGAATCAGCTGTTGTTTTCTCGAAGGAGAAAACCATGCACACATTTAAAACGATACTCTACTTATCCTTTTATCTATAGCATCTATTGCACAACTAGCTATATTCGTTTTTATCACTTTACACATGTATTTTGGGATTCCTCCTCTGTAAACTTAATTTGCCTGATGACGAGCGAGTGAAGGACCGTCTCATTTCTTGCAAGCGCAATTCCCTCCACGATCCCTATCCTTACCGCCGCTCCTCAATTATCTTGACCTTTTTCAAAACGAGGTGAGGAGAGGAGGCGAGGAAAACCAATTAAGATACCAGAATGTTGATAACATATCAAGTCAGCAAACCTCCAACTTCCCTAAGCAGCGGCACCCCAGACCCAGTTTGATTAGCTTGATTCTTAGCTCTTACGTGGGCCGGTAGATTAGTGCCCGCTATCCCAGTTCTATAACAGCGAGGCGGAGTGATGAGCCCTAATCCCACTGCCAGCCATCTGGTGGCAATTTCCCAGGGTGAAAGGAGCAGATTCACTAATCTGAGAGCAGAGGGACCCTGGCTGTCACCTGCTACCGCGCTTAATCTGAGCCTGCCTGGTACCCGGCCCGCATGCTTCCTTTTCATCTCAGTGGTCCGCTGGGATGTACTGTAGATGACGGGCCGGGAGGGGAGCCGTCACCACAATCAAAAGGCTGGAGGGAAGCAGTTGCGAGGGTGACAATTTCATGATGACACTTTGCCTCTAATTGTTATTGTATGGGCATCTGTGCTTTACTGCTGATTGGAGTTGTCATTTGGGCAGATCCACAGTGGAGGTCAAACAGATGTAAACAGTGTGGGGTTCAGATGTAATGTTCTACTAGCTGCCAGAAGGTGGCAGTAGACCCTCGTCACTGTAAAATCCCTGGGCATCCAATTATGAAACAGATCATTTATCCACCTGCTTCTCACTGACACACCATTACAACTGATTTAGGAGAACCAGGACTGACAGACAACCTACAGTTTCATATCCCCCGTGGGAATGTATGATGCATAGTTTCACAGTCACAACACCATAACCATCAAGATTTCAACTACTGAAGTACATTGATTTATGATGAGGGAAGCCACAGTGGCAGATGAGCAAGCATTGAGGATGTCACCGTAACATGCATAAAGACAGACAGACAGATACCTACCGATCTCTCCCCAGTGGAAAGGGTTGATGCCGCCCGTTGTGCAGTTGTAGACCAGAGCTGTTTTGGGTCTGCAAGGGAGTAGTGAGATGGGGTCAAAGGTTTAAGGGATCAAAGGGGAGGGTTCATTAGGACACATCTATAAAATGAGCCCACAAACACAAATCACATCAATTGAAAACACTGGGCTTCCTCATCAGTAAATGGTGTAGAGCTGAATGTGTGTTCGAACAAACTGGGCTAAGGTATGTTTACAGGAGGTCTTCCTGCAGGTCAATATGGGGGGTGTCTGTTTGTGTGGGTTAAACCATACAGTCATTGGTCAAACCATATTCCACCTGGGGGGAAAGTTAACCTGTGCACTGCCGTGTACCAGCCAGCGGCCAGGGTCAGGTTGATGACCACGTCGACGGGGATGAGGTCAGCCACCGCATCATTGTTGGCTCTCATGGTGCGCAGGATGCCCTTCCCCGCCTGACCAGACAGGACACAGGGTTACCACAACATCTCATTTTACACTAGTGGCATCAAAATGAGCAAACTTAGTATATGAAAAATACAACTAATAAGCAGATGCTGGTACTTACAGCGATGAAGACTCCGCTTGGTCCATTGAAGTTGTCGATCCAGCCCTGAGACGAATGAAGAGGGAGGGAATGCATTAGTGTAATGAGAGATTAGGGGCTCTATTCAATCCGTATTGAGGTACTTCAGCGTTACAGCGTTATTGAAATTAAAAGGCAATGTTCCCGTGTTAGCGGACACTGCATTCGAGGTAAACGCTGCATATCTCGGCTCAATCGGAAATTACTTTCAAATGTATATTGCGCAATCTGTAACGCTTCAGCGATGCAGATTGAATAGAGCCGTAGATGAAAGAGAACCCTAAGTACCCCCTTAAAGCTTGAATTCTTAGTTGCTACATCCATTTTTGGACTTATAAATTAATGATATATACCCATTGATTCTTGAAGAATATAACTTATACATGCCTCATGAGCTTAGTTCAACTGTCGTACCCCATTAGAACCCAAAATACAAGCTTGTTTTACTCCAATGTTCGTAAACAATGTAAATGTAAACAAACACTGTATAGCCTCAAAACGTGGTTAAAACTATAATTTTGATATCATGGATGGTCATTCCTTGCTTCCATAGCTCTGTCTATGAATTTGAGAGTGGTTACATTTCTCCAGGCCCATCCCTCAGTTTTTTACCGAAACACAGCCGGGGTGTCCGCTTTGTTACAGTTTCAATTAAGGATTCTAGCTTCAAGCACCGCTATAACATTGCTGCAACGTCATCAAGTTAAAGATAGCCTCCTAACAGCAACATCAATTAGATTGTTGTGTATCTGCTGAGTTAGCATTCCAGTGGTGTGCTAGGCTAGCTAGTTACCTATGGAGAGTGAGACTGAGGCAGGGAGAGTAACACAGTGTCCACATCAATTAGCCCCCCGGTAATACATTGGTAATAGACTGGGCTTATTTGTGTGGGTCTGTCTGTGGCTTGTCCCTACAGGGTAAGGCTACATGGTCTGGTGCAGACAGACATGCAGACAGTCAGTCAGTCAGTCAGTCAGACAGACAAGAGTCCTTATCACATCGTCTCAGAGCCAATTTTTGCAGGGATAAATCTTTGACCCCCATTGGGGGATTGCCTGTGACATTTTAACACTTAATGTAGTTCTGAGGACATGGAGATTGAAGTAAATCTCACACACACACATACACCCTCCTCCCTTGTCTCGTCGCTCCCACTGGCTCGAGCTGCCAGGGCAATAAACTGGTAAAGCGTGATCTTTTGGCTGTTTTCGCCGCCAGGCCAGGCCCGACCCCACTTACACATCTACTGGCTCTGGATCCTGCACTGTTCAAACGTTTCAGCCCCAGAAAACTAAATACAGCCCTGGGCTAAATAGTAGTTCTCTGTGAATATACTTTTTAGTGCATTATAAAAGTGTATTATACTCTATTGAAAACTCTGACAGAGTACAATTGTTTTGGTGTCTTCCTGTGTGAATTCATGGAGCCTTAGACATTCAAATAATATTCCTGTAGGAAAATAAAGCAAGCATGTCACTTGAATTTGGGGGAAAGAACTATGAAGAATATTATATCACCAAAATGATTAAATGTTGAACAACATCCTCCCATTGCTCCTCCAAAATTTTAAGCAGCAATAAAGTCTCTATTTATTCAACGCTTTAATATATTCATCTGCCGCTATGCTAAGTGAGATTAAAATACTTAACCCTGTGGAATCCTTATGCTAAGATGTTAGCTTACACTACAGCAGCTGGACAGATTATAAAATAAAAAGCAGCTTACTCATGAAAGTACCATCACCCTGCACATCCAGAAGAGGACTGGTCACCCATCGGAAACCTGGTTCCCAGCTAGGTTTCTTCCTAGGTTCCTGCCTTTCTAGGGGCAACTGTTGATGTCAAAAGGGCTTTATAAAATACATTTGATTGATTGATTGATTACTGCACCTACTGAACTTTCGGAGCAGCCTTTCCATGAACCTACAGGTGCTTTCAGTGACCTTCTATCTAGTAGCAGACACTCAGGGGCTCTCCGGTTTCAGCACTGGCAGTCCCCCTCCCTCCAGTACCCCCTCCCTTGCCCCTTTGCCCCTTCCTTGCCCCCCTCACATTGCCTATCCAGCTGTTGGGGTCAGGGATGCTCCTCTTCGCAGCCCCGGAATCCAGCCCAACCGGACCTTCCGAACCATAGGAACACACCTGTCCTGGTCCAACCCTAATACAACCCTTACTCAGCACTACACACCCAATCCCCCTTTAACCCTCCCGTTGTCCTAGGGTCTAAATGACCCGCCACTGTGTTTTTTGGATCATTTGTGAGAAGGAGGCAGTGATACTTTCTTTAAAGTCTCACTGCCTCCTTCTCACAAATGATCCCAAAAATATAAAAATTAAATAAAGTTGGTTCAACACAGTGGCGGGTCATTTTGACCCTAGGACAATGGGAGGGTTATGTCTGACTGTATACAGGGGAGATATTTTGACCAGTGTACTATTACAGTGATCAACCACTAATTCCCATCCATTTGCCACCACAGCAGGACATGATGGTGTGAGAATTTGCAGGATTCTGACTGAGCCCTTTTACCATCATCACAGTGAAAGTGCTACATAGATTTTTATAAATTGTGATATATTTCCCACCAGGCAAGTGGCTGAGCCAATCACACTTCTTCTGATACACTTATCTTGCTGACCAGTCAATACACTGTTTAACGTCCACAGACTACATACAGAATGTGATCCATGTACAGTGGGGGAAAAAAAGTATTTAGTCAGCCATCAATTGTGTAAGTTCTCCCACTTAACAAGATGAGAGAGGCCTGTAATTTTCATCATAGGTACACGTCAACTATGACAGACAAATTGAGATTTTTGTTATCCAGAAAATCACATTGTAGGATTTTTAATGAATTTATTTGCAAATTATGGTGGAAAATAAGTATTTGGTCACCTACAAACAAGCAAGATTTCTGGTTCTCACAGACCTGTAACTTCTTCTTTAAGAGGCTCCTCTGTCCTCCACTCGTTACCTGTTGTGGCACCTGTTTGAACTTGTTATCAGTATAAAAGACACCTGTCCACAACCTCAAACAGTCACACTCCAAACTCCACTATGGCCAAGACCAAAGAGCTGTCAAAGGACACCAGAAACCAAAATTGTAGACCTGCACCAGGCTGGGAAGACTGAATCTGCAATAGGTAAGCAGCTTGGTTTGAAGAAATCAACTGTGGGAGCAATTATTAGGAAATGGAAGACATACAAGACCACTGATAATCTCCCTCGATCTGGGCTCCACGCAAGATCTCACCCCGTGGGGTCAAAATGATCACAAGAACGGTGAGCAAAAATCCCAGAACCACACGGGGAGACCTAGTGAATGACCTGCAGAGAGCTGGGACCAAAGTAACAAAGCCTACCATCAGTAACACACTACGCCGCCAGGGACTCAAATCCTGCAGTGCCAGACGTGTCCCCCTGCTTAAGCCAGTACATGTCCAGGCCCGTCTGAAGTTTGCTAGAGTGCATTTGTATGATCCAGAAGAGGATTGGGAGAATGTCATATGGTCAGATGAAACCAAAATAGAACTTTTTGGTTAAAAACTCAACTCGTCGTGTTTGGAGGACAAAGAATGCTGAGTTGCATCCAAAGAACACCATACCTACTGTGAAGCATGGGGGTGGAAACATCATGCTTTGGGGCTGTTTTTCTGCAAAGGGACCAGGACGACTGATCCGTGTAAAGGAAAGAATGAATGGGGCCATGTATCGTGAGATTTTGAGTGAAAACCTCCTTCCATCAGCCCGGGCAACGAAGGAGTGGCTTCGTAAGAAGCATTTCAAGGTCCTGGAGTGGCCTAGCCAGTCTCCAGATCTCAACCCCATAGAAAATCTTTGGAGGGAGTTGAAAGTCTGTGTTGCCCAGCGACAGCCCCAAAACATCACTGCTCTAGAGGAGATCTGCATGGAGGAATGGGCCAAAATAACAGCAACAGTGTGTGAAAACCTTGTGAAGACTTACAGAAAACGTTTGACCTGTGTCATTGCCAACAAAGGGTATATAACAAAGTGTTGAGAAACTTTTGTTATTGACCAAATACTTATTTTCCACCATAATTTGCAAATAAATTCATTAAAAATCCTACAATGTGATTTTCTGGATTTCTTTTTCTCATTTTGTCTGTCATAGTTGACGTGTACCTATGATGAAAATTACAGGCCTCTCTCATCTTTTTAAGTGGGAGAACTTGCACAATTGGTGGCTGACTAAATACTTTTTTTCCCCCACTGTATCTATTGATCATCTATTGACTCTATTGCTGCCAGCTATCCAGTGCCAAGGTCCAGTAGAGTAATGAAGTCCCATAGAATGACATGTATATCATACTGTATCTCTATGGTAATGGTACTCACAGGGAAAGGCTCCTGCCAGCTGGCTCCCACTATGGAGGGTCTGATGATGCCGATGCTGAGCTTGCCGCTCTCCTTCTGGACCACGCACTCTGCCAGGGCTTTGGTGTAGGTGTAGGTGTTGGGGCGGTCCCCGATAAGGCGAGGCGTGATGTCACGGACGATGCTGTCCTCCATCCACCTGCAGTCACAGACACAAGAGAACACTCACAATTAGACTCACATCACAATGGTACAGGACACATGCCAGGATTGAAGTAAAGTTGGCATTTTGTGTTGATAGATGAAACATCATTCATTCTGATAGCTGTCTGTGAGGGTATTTATAATCAATCATTAGTTGGAAATGGCACGAGGCGGTGTGGACTTGACAGCACCCTTGGTTCAGTTCAATTCCATTTCAATCAGTTAATTCAGGAGATGAATTGAAATTCAATAAATATACTGTCATTTATCTAACTAAGGGCTAAATTATATCAGATCTGTGGTAGCCGACACTGTCATGAATCCCGCTTCCTGAGTCGGTTTCTATCTGTTGCCTGTTTTTGTCCTGGAGTTGTTTTTTCCTGAGTTTCCTGACCGCACCCTGTCTGGTTGCCGGGCAACGAACCAAGGTGGGAGATCTCTCCTTTACCCGCACCTGCATCTCATCAGCTATCTGCACACCTGGTTCTGATCATCACCTCTCCACTTCATAAGCTCTGACCTGACATCCATTCCCTGCCAGATCGTTAGCCATGAACAGTATGTTGTGCCTGCGTATCAGCCTCAGATTACTAAGAGTTAGTTTTGCTGTTCTGTACTTTTTGCTTGCTGTGAACTCACCTTCGTTTACTCTGTCTACAGTTACTCTCCCGGAACATTCACTCCACCGCTGCCTGGTTGTCTGTGGCTTCAGAGACATCATTGGATCTGCCCATTCACTCCCACCAACTCACCTCCACTGCCAGCTCCGTCACCTGGATTCTCCTGCTTCCACATTTAAGTCTTTAAATAAATACTCACCTTCATTCAACTCACCTTGTCCTGGTCTGCTTCTGGGTTCTGCTTTAGAGAATGGTGACAGACACCCACATAGCGGTTGTTTTGGTGGTGTTGGAGGTGGAACTGTGTTAGAGCTGTCAAATCCACAAGCGGCACCAGGCGTTATACCTAATGTGGACATTTTCAAATGTTGAACTTCTAACGTGAGTGGGACCGGTGTGGCTTCGTGACAATGATCACAAGAGCAGCTGCTCACCGATTTGACAGCTCCAACGTAGTTCCACCTCCAACACCACCAAAACATCAGCTATGCAGGTGTTGGCTATCGCCGGTTAACGCTTGATCTGATTGAATCTAGGCCTAAGTGCCATTTATCTTCACTGAGCATATTTTCAATGCATGAAATTTGCAATTGAAATCACTTCCTGAATAGATGGATTCGTAATAGCAGCAGCCCCACCCCAAACTCTGATGCAGAAAGTAGACTTCACACTACTCACTCCAGGGAGTCGATGAGCTTCTTGGGCTCTACAGGCGGTGGGTAGATGATCTCGTCGATGTGCCTGCGGTTGCAGTTGGCGTAGGCTGTGGAGATGTGGATGAAGGCCTGGAGGTGGTGCATCTGCTGGGCCAGACACAGGAGCTGCTGCGTGGCCATAACGTTCAGCTGCAGGGCGTGTCTGGGAAGAGAGGAAATACACACACAGCAGGACTAGGTTAGTGATCACTGTGCATAAGTATACTAAGCAGCATAAGCACACTATGCATTCTCATAATATCATCACAAGGAGAGAAGTGTGAGACAGAGAGACAGAGACAGAGAGAGAGAGACCGACAGAGAGACGCAGAGAGACCGAGAGAGACAGACAGAGAGACAAAGAGAGAGAGGCCGACAGAGAGAGAAGGAGGAAGGGAGAGAGAGAGACCAAACATACTCACACCCTTTTATCCTTACACATCATTCCAGCAATGTGCTTCCATTCCCGGAATAAACATTTGCATCAATTTTCTCTTTACTCCATACAAACCACACCTGTATCTATCCATCTACCCTTTCAAAAAGCCATATCAAACTCTGGCAACTCTTATTGACACTGCTTCCTAAACAGGCAGGACTCTAGCTCACCTCTCAGCCAGTCTACAGAGAGATAGTGCTTCTCAGCCACAGTCAGGCAGTGTGGACGGTGTATGTGTGTGTTTATGTGAGTGCAGATGTCAGATGTGGTTTGGCAGCGGTTGGCCATTAATGGCAGTGCCGGGAAGGCAGTTGTGACAGTCAGCGGCAGTGGCCTGTCACATGGGGATGAGAGTGGTAGTAGTAGTAGGCCGTACCACCGTTTGAGAACTGTTATAGAGCCTAGAACACCACTGTGACTGTGGGACTGCTCCTAACTATGTGTTCCTCACTGCTCCAAGCCGCTGTCATTAATGAATTCTTCATTAGGGTGCTAGATATACTGTAGCCTAGCGGCTATGGTGGCTATTGTGTTTATCACTGCTTCAGTGCTAGGCTTGTCTAGGGCACTATCTGAAGAGCTGTGGTCTAGGTCCCTGTGATTAAACTGTTGTCTGATTATGCTCCAACACTCCCTGGCAACTTTGTTTCCCGGGAGACAGGGTAACAACCTTGTGTGTCAAAACGAGAGAGGGAGAGAGAAAGTGAGAGAGAACAGGGGAGAGAGGGAGAAATACAGAGGAAGGGATGTAGAGGCAGGGGTGAAAAGAGAAAGACAAAGTGAAAGAGGGAAGAGAAGAGAGTTATGATGCTGTTCAGAGAACAATCTCACAGCTTTTCCCTAATTGAGCTGTCAGTCATGGCTAATGTCCTGCCTCCCCACACCTCCTTTCACCTCTCTGATGGCATATCATCCCTTAAGGCTGTCCTGTCTGTCCTACTCAAAGGGATCTGTTCCCAGCAGCCACACAGACACCCAGACAGATATATTTAACAGTATGATGAAGGCTCGTGAGAATACACTGAGACAGACAGACAGACACAGAGCTCTTTTATGTTTTAATAATCCCTCTGAACACCTCATTCCTGCTTCCTCACTGAGTAAGGGAGACATCTAAAGACATCCCTCTCCCCCATACGGCTAGCTACCTGCAGACTCCCTGGATACAGCTCTCTCTCTGTCTGTCTCTCTCTCACCACATGGAACGTTGATGCACTGTCTACTACGTGAGATGATGAAACCATGTGGAATATTGAAAATTTAAACAGTTTCTAAATCCTTATTATAAATTAAATGTTACAGTACTCTATGTCTTTCTCCTCTCAACATCATTGTAATGGATTTTATTTAATATGTTTAACGTCTGTCAACCATTTTAAGTAAACAATGTTGCTTGACAGACACTACACAAATAAAGTGTATTATCGTGGAATCTCCGTTGTGTTTCTCAACCGTCATCATACTCTAGATGTACAGTATCAGCTTTCCCATTGGTCAACACCAGAACACAAACAGTCCATACTATCAACCAAACATCACTTCCTGTAGGGAGTCCCTGGGCAATGGACACTTCCTGGTACTTGGGACAATGACAAAGCAAAACCCGCCGACCCCATAAACCAGACCCGAGTGAAACATCCAAAGACTACCATGGCCCCAATACCGGCTGAATTCCTCTGAACTAGAGACGGTCTACTGTGCCTTTGTACATAGAATTGGGATTTAGAATACTTAATTAATTACTAAAAGGATCTCTATGTCTTTGTACCTCTCTCTGTGTCAGACACAAGCTACGTCCATGCATTTATATAGAATCAAACTGATTTGATTTGTTGAGTTGATAAAGTAGTGAGTTAGCATGATAGCTAGGGATAGAGGGATAGTTAATGTGTGTGTGTAGGGGCTGTGGTCCTCACTTGAGGGGTTCGTCGAAGCGGATGGTGGCAGCACAGTGGAAGACGATGTTGATGCAGGAGGTCAGTCTCTCTACGTCCTCAGGACTGATGGCCAGGCCAGGCTGTGTCAACTCACTGCTGATAGGAACTATCTTCTGGTGGAAGTCTGGGTTGTCCTCCCTCACACGGTCAAACAGCTGCAGGAAAGGCACACATAGATGCATCAGATCATATCAACGTATGTCAAGCCATTGATTTAGCCAGGTCCATGTGTAAAGGACACTATATGCATTGATGTCTGTAACGATTCTGTCCACATGGATGTTTGGCTGTAGGCTATTCCTCTACACAACTTCTACTGTGTAAAGCCTTGGCAGCTTTTACATAACAATAGCACCATAGTAGTATTTGCAAGCCTCAGTGTTAACAATACAGATCATGTTGCCTGAAGTAATTGATTAATCACTCTAGTATTCAAACACACATCCAGCAGGTGTCAGTACTTTCCCACAATGCCCTAGTAGCAGCGGTGTCGCCCATGGGAGACCACACGCTGCAGTACCAGTGCACTCTGTGTGTGTGTGTGTAACATGTTCCCTGTTGCTGTGACCCTACGGGACAGGACACAGGAAATGAAACACCACCTCACCACCAAGGAGGGAGATAAAATCACTCCTTATCCTCCAAGCAAAAACCATTATAAACAAATTGTAGGTTTTAGTCTTGAATGAAGGGAGCTGTGTTTTAGGGCTGAATATAAGAACACAACAAACAGAAGGGAAGATGAATTCTCTTATGACAAACGAGACATAAATCAAGTAGCTGGCCAGTGCACACCTCAGATTTAGCTCTGGGTGTCGAGGTTAAGGAAGATGCAAAACACAGAGAATTGTACTGGACATTTCAGATTGCTAGTGATTAGGATTAGCGTGTGAGTTATGAAATTGGCTGTGTGTGTGTGTGTGACAGTTCCGGCTGCCCTGGTAAGCAGACCACTCTAAGTGAAGAGCAGGACAGATGTTGAGTAATGCCTCCAACAGCTGTTCATATCCATGTTCTCTCTCTCCATCTCCATCCCTCCCTACATCTATCTCTCTTTCTATATCTGTCTCTTTTCTGGTTCTCTAATGAGTCCAGGTTGTTTGGACTTTCCTCACATTGTGACAAACTCTGATGAACTCTGTTGACCCCAATCACCCTGGTGGAAAAAGCCAAAAGTCCCAGAGGTCAAAATGGTTGTGCCCCCTGTTCTGCTTTCTGCTCCAGGTCAACCCAGCCTCTACTGATTTCAGAGGAGCTCGGTGTGGCCCCAGTATTTTTTAATGCAGCCCTGAAGTTGTGTCAGAGCTGGCCGTGAACTTCTAGGCCATCTGTTGGTGTGTAGCTCCCTTGAAGAAGGTGGGCACCAAAACTGGCACAAACACCCAGCAACCAACCCCAATATTGTGTGTATGTATGTGTGTGTTTGTTTGTGTGTGCACTGAGCCAGCTCTGACACAGTGATGACTGGCTGTAGAGAGAGACACTGTGAACCTGCCAGCACACCTCATATTGCCAGCACACCTCACCAAATTCAGTTCATAAATAAATCAAAAGGTGAAGAAGGTGTTTGTTTGCACAAAAAGTACTAAAGCTATGTATTTTACTTCATTTCATAACTGAATAACGGAACACTTGATTACGTTGGATGACCTAAGCCAAACTTCCTCTTTAAGGTTGCGTAACCAAGCAACAAAAAAACAACATGCCCTTACTAGTCTTGGCAGGAGCCCCGTAACCCCAAAACCTCAGTGTGAGCGGGTAACACAGTCCTCAGAATACGTTTTTACCCAGTCAGCAAAACAACAGAAATCAATCAGAGACCAGCCTTTTACAGTTCTATAACACAGCTGCCTGGGACGAGGCACTGGGTCTATAAAGCATGTAACCTAGGTGGCATAGGGTGGCATAGGGTGGCACAGCTCCACTCAGGGTGGCTTGGAGGAGGCTCACTTTAAGGTCAGTGGCACACTTAGTGAGAGAGAGAGAGAGAGAGAGAGAGAGAGAGTGGGGGGGGGGGGGGGGGCAGAGTAGGGATCAGTTTCACTCCTGTCTGTAGCCGGATGTTCCCTTCACTCTTATCAGTGGTCCCAGCTATACAGAAAACCACTGCTGCTGATCCTACAAAACACAACTACTACACTGTGCATCATTTATAGTACCAATATAAATCACTTATAGCACCACAACAGACTGTAGTGGACAATCAAACACCATCTCATAAAGTTTCCCCCTCTACAGAATCAATGTAACCTGTCAGCCTTGTAGTAAACAAGCATCATTCAAGACAAGAGAGAGGGATAGGGAGAGAGAGGGAGGAAGAGAGCGAGAGAGAGAGATAGGGAGAGAGAGAGAGCATTAAGTTCAGAGGGGTAAGTGAGGTCAGAGATTGTTGGCCTGTGCATGCCCTTTGTTCAGCCTCAGAGCTAAGGGGGATGTGCTCCTACTGGGACTGCTGGGCTAGAACACAGCATCCATTCAGTAGGGGACACATTCAGAGTTATCTATTAGATATCTGTTATGCTGACTAACTTCTCCCTCTCCTCAGTTGTGGTGTGTGGCCCCTCTGTAGGGATGCCAGTTGTCCTCCCTCTGTCTCTCTCTCTACTTCTTTCTCTCCCCATCTCTCTTTCTCCCCATCTCCCTCTCTCTCTCTCTGAGGGGGAAGTCGTGGGTGTGTGGAGTGTCTGCCACCAGCCTCGCTGCCTCTCTGCCCCTCGTGCCACATGCCAACCAGACCCATATGAGGAGCGGCATAAAAAGACTGGCACCATGCCAAGCTGGCAGCCTACCCTCTCTCTGTCAAACTCCCTGTCTCTGGGCGGGACCTGTGTGTAATGGTATAGCCCTGTGTCTCTCTGATCATGCCAACCAGCCCCAGATGAGTCTATATGTGAAGAAAGGCCTAGGGGTCATAAATCTCCAGACTCTCCTCCCGCTTGGCCTAGGGGTCGTAAATCTCCAGACTCTCCTCCCGCTTGGCCTAGGGGTCGTAAATCTCCAGACTCTCCTCCCGCTTAGCCTAGGGGTCGTAAATCTCCAGACTCTCCTCCCGCTTAGCCTAGAGGTTGTAAATCTCCAGACTCTCCTCCCGCTTAGCCTAGGGGTCGTAAATCTCCAGACTCTCCTCCCGCTTAGCCTAGGGGTCGTAAATCTCCAGACTCTCCTCCCGCTTAGCCTAGGGGTCGTAAATCTCCAGACTCTCCTCCCGCTTAGCCTAGGGGTGGTAAATCTCCAGACTCTCCTCCCGCTTAGCCTAGGGATCATAAATCTCCACTCTCCTCCCGCTTCAACGGTGCTGCTTTGTGGACTTTCACTGACCGTCCTGTAAATATAGCCACTCATTCACAGCTCCTTTAGACATGGCAGGCAAAGACAAACAGAGAGAGAGAGAGCTGTCCCCTGGAGCAAAGATATGGCAGGGAAAGAGAGAGAGAGAGAGAGAGAGAGAGAGTGTTATTTATATGTGTTATTTCATAGTTTTGATGTCTTCACTATTATTCTTCAATGTAGAAAATAGTACAAATAAAGAAAAACCCTTGAATGAGTAGGTGTTCTAAACACTTTGACCGGTAGTGTAGGCATGCACACACACTCTTCCCCTGCTCCTGGTCAAACAGCTGTTACTGTTTCAGCCAGGCTTGGTGGATGGATGCTGGGTAACTGGGTCTGCTCTGCGGTTGGCCCTCTCTCTAATGATCACAAAGCCGGAAATGCACAGTAGCTAGAAGTCCCTATAAGTCTATAGTACAAAGGTAGTGCACTATATAGGGAAAGGAGTTGTTTAAAGATGTATCATGGCTTTAGGCCATTTCCATGTGTCTGTCTCAGTATATTATCTCTGTTTAGTATTTATATTCTCTGTGGTTGGCTCTTGGGGGGAAACATTGGAATGGACTTCCAGTAACAATTCCCCTTGGAGAGAGTGCCAGCTCTCTTGGACGTCATCCAGATCCCCTGCATACCACGGCTCCTCAAAGACCCAGAGGATTGTTCAGCGGTGCAGACCAGGTCATAGGTCATAAAAGCAAGCAGATACAGAGGCAGAGGACAGAGCATTGCTGAGCATCCAGTGCCAAGCTGGAGGCTATCTAACGCTGTGCTCAACTTAATACAAGAGGATCAATACCAACAGGACAAGACTGTTTACTTTACGGTGACAGACAGCAATATTAGAATTTGTGCTCGGCAGTCGGCATACAGATGGCATGGCATTCCACTTCTGAGACAGTAACCTCATAGCGAGCCATGGAAAATTCCATTATCCTTCTAGAACAAACCAAATTGAACTAAGGACCACTTTTAATGAGATTTACGAACCCATATGGTCACTGGAAACCACCGACAGGGACAGACCTAACGCTAGGCTTTACTGATCAAGCAAACTTAGTGGTTGTACCGTTGTGACCCCTGGGGGTTAGGGAAGGTGACAGTGGGATGTGGAGAGGGTTGTGGCCCCTCTGCGGAGCGTTGCTTGTGGCCCCCGGCGGCCGGCCCTGGTCCAGTGGGGTGTGCGGCCGAGCGGAATCCCGGAACTCGGGTCGGAGCGCTACAGTCGTCAATCCATCGATTACAGAGGAAACCAAGCTGGAAGCACCCCAACGCTCCAACGAGCACAGAGACACACACTGCATCATGGCAAGGAAAACACACACACTTCGACAAAGAATACCAGAGGTGCTTCCACACAAATTGAATGTTTCCATGTAAGAGAATCAGCCTTCTACTGGCATCCAAACCATCCTCCTTCACTTGAATGACTTATTCCTGAAAGGAAACACCTTAGGGTGGTTTGATGCAGTGTGGTGACGATGTCTGTTTCAATCAGTTTGGATTCACAGTTTATCAAAGGGAGGAACACGGTGAGGCTGGGTAATCTTGATGAACACGATATCCTCTGTGATATAGAGAACAGGCTCTTATCTATGCTGCCATCAAAACCTGGAGTTTCTCTGTCTCCTTTACAGGAAATGAAACTGGACCTTTCTCATCCCAGGCAGATCAATAGCATGCATTTACACTACCTGACAAAGAGTGTGCAAAGCTGTCATCAAGGCAAAGGGTGGCTATTTCAAGTTTCATATAAAATATTATTTGATTTGTTTAACACTTTTTTGGTTACTACTGTACATGATTCCATATGTGTTATTTCATAGTTTTGATGTCTTCACTATTATTCTACAATGTAGAAAAGAGTACAAATAAAGAAAAACCCTTGAATGAGTA